CCCTGGGAGGACTCGTGGTGCCAGGCTGGGCCAGAGTTCCAGCCACTACCTCTTCGTTTAAGCTGGCCAGGGGAAGGACATCCCACATCTTAAAGGACATGTCCTAAAAGTTGCTCAAGCCACTGGCCAGAAACGACACCTCACTCCCAGGGCAGCTGGGAAGGTAATCACATCCTAGATCAGAACTGAGGGAAGGGGACTGAGACACTGGTAATGGCCTCTGCCACCACGTGCTTACAGAACATGCCAGGGATCAAATGTACATCTTGAACCCTTTAAATTCCCTTGTGTGACGGTATATCTTGCTGGCAAGAAGGGAAACATTAACTCGTATTTCTCTGGATGTTTGAATATTTCATGAAAACCAGTAACAAACCCTCACTACCCACCATCCAGAATGAACAAACAAATGCTAACATTTGCCTTCGGATCTTAGAAACAAGTGGACTCTGATGAGGCCGCTCTGCTGGCACACCCCACTTCCGTTCCTCTCCCGCCCTTTCCGGCGGTGGCGGGGTGGGGGGGGGTCAATTACTTTTCTGAACAATGTTTCCCAGTGACATTGCTGTGCTTTCTCTTCATAAATAACAAGGGTTTTTTAAAACTTATGACATTCATTTCATCTTCTGACAGCCTATTTTCCTTCAATATTTTTCCCCCAACGGCTATCCACTGATCTTACAGATCAAGTTCACTCGTTTTAACTGTTCCATTGTTTGCCATCTTCAAATAGGCCATAATTGCTCCATTTTCTTGTTCATGGACATTTAGGCTATTTCCCACTTCTCCTAGATACAAACAATTCAGCTGTGAGCATCTATGTAATAGTAATAAGCCTTGTACACAAGCATATGGTTCGGGACAGTACTGCTTCTAAAGCTTCAAGGAGCATATCAATCACCTGAGAAATCTTAACCACGGACTCTCACTGGGCAAGTCCCGGGAAGTGAGACTCTAGTTATGTGCCTAGGGTCACAGAGCCCAAGGTCAGAGGCTATACTACTACTTTCACACACATCATCAAATTCAATTTTACTCCAAAAGAAATTAATGTGTTCTCATTTCTTCAACCTGATGCACCAACATTCGATCTTGATCTTACGATTTTTTGGCTTCTGCCAATTGGAAAGCATAGAACAACTATTAAGTCATATTTCCCTCGTTATCAATAACAATGATCATCTTTTCACATTGTTTAACTATTCCAGCTTTTTCCATTCATGTTTTACCCGTTTTTCTAATGCAGCCATTCTAAGTATGGTCTGGGGGACCCAGAAGGGCCCACAAGGTCCTTCCTTTTCCAATTTCCTACCCAGATAAGGCTCCATTTTCTTCATATACTTTAACCAAACACAGAGCAACAGACTGATGGCAGAAGCCACTATGAGAATCCTTAATTTCATTAAGCTAGACAAAGAAATTTTAAAAATGTGAAACGATGGGGGCGCCTGGGTGGCTCAGTTGGTTAAGCATCTGACTTCTACTCAGGTCATGTTCCTGGGGTCCTGGGATGGAGCCCCACATCGGGGTCCAGGTTCAGCAGGGAGCCTGCTTCTCCCTCTCCCCCAACTTGTGTTCTCTAATAAATATTTTAAAATGTGAAACAATGCCTCCACTAAACTTTCATTTTGAAAGTTATTTTTCATATTTGTTATTTAGCATGTATTATTTTTAATACTTTTAAAATCCATTTTAATTTCCAAGAGTGTAAATATCAATAGATAGAAGCTACACACACAAATACTCTCTGGAGTTCTCAATTTTTAAGCGTGTGAAGGGGTCTTGTGACCAAAAAGTTTTTTTTTTTTTTAAGATTTTATTTATTTATCTGACAGAGAGAGAGCACAAGCAGGCAAAGTGGCAGGCAGAGGCAGAGGGAGAAACAGGCTCTCCAATGAGCAGGGAGCCCAATGTGGGGCTCGATCCCAGAACCCTGGGATCATGACCGGAGCCGAAGGCAGCCACTTAACTACTGAGCCACCCAGGTGCCCCGTGACCAAAAAGTTTGAGAACTGCTGCATTAATGCATGTCTGTCATTTGCTCATTGATTTGTAGGAGGTACTTTTTCATGTCTCCTGGATGATAATTCTCTCTGTTACATATATATTGCAAACAATCCCAGTCTGAGACTTTTTACTTATGGTGCCTATTCTACAAAAGCTTTTATTTTGGGAGGCGCCTGGGTGGCTCAGTCGGTTAAGCGTCTGCCTTCGGCTCAGGTCATGGTTCCAGGGTCCTGGGATCGAGCCCCACATCGGGCTCCCTGCTCCGCGGGAAGCCTGCTTCTCCCTCTCCCACTGCCCCTGCTTGTGTTCCCTCTCTCGCTGTCTCTCTGTCAAATAAATAAATAAAATCTTTAAAAAAAAAAAAAAAAGCTTTTATTTTGACATAGTCCTGTTCTCCTCTAGTGTAATTTTGCTAAGGATACTGCTCCTGTTTTGAAACAGAAGTCTCACTGGGCTTTCTAGGGAACCCCAGCTCTGGCATCACTGAACGAATTGGAGAGAGAAAACAGGATTTCCCCTTAGCCTCTCCTCAAAGAGCCAGCTTTCCATGCATCTTCCACAGCTCAGCTTACTTCAGTCAGGATGGTGCTCACCACTGACCTTGAACGAGATCAGTGTAAAATATGTGCTCATGTATTTTAGACTATTCTGTTTTGCTTCATACAAATGAAATTGAATGTCTGTGATTCACCAAAAATATTTTACCAAAGCATTAATATGTTTCTGTTTTCCTCTTCAGAAGTAGATTAGGAAGGACAACACATTTAATTCAACATGTACAATTCAGTCTGCAAATATCTTAACTGAAAAAGATTTAACTCCTTTAAATTCAACATTTTGTATAAAGCTTTCATATTTAAAAAGCACTTTCGGGGTGCCTGGGTGGCTCAGCCGTTAAGCATCTGCCTTCGGCTCAGGTCATGATCCCAGGGTCCTGGGATCAAGCCCCGCATCAGGCTCCCTGCTCCGCGGGAAGCCTGCTTCCCCCTCTCCCACCCACTCCCCCTGCTTGTGTTTCCTCTCACTGTGTCTCTCTCTGTCAAATAAATAAATAAAATCTTTAACAACAACAAAAAAAGCACTTTCATAATACTGTTGTACCTGGGGTGCCCGGCTAGCTTGGCTAGAGGAACACATGGCTCTTGATCTTGGGGTCATGAGTTCAAGCCCCATGATGGGTATAGAGATTACTTTAAATAAACTTTAAAAAAAATTTTAAAAATGACAAAAAATATTATCTGCCCTTCGTGATAGTCCTGTATGATAAATGGAGACAATACTATGCTAAGAACTGTGTTATAGATAAGGAGAATGAAATTCAGAGAAGTTAAATGATTTGTCGGCATTATATATGCACAGGACTACAAAGGAGATTAACTTTCAACCACAACTGATGAAGATCCCTTCAAAATATGGTTGAGTTTTGTCAATCAGAATAAAAGTGACAAGTAACCCCAATCAATCCTCACACAAAACAGAAACTAACTACCTGTCTGGTGGGTAGAAGGGAAAGCAAGGAATGTCTGAAGGGCATCCGCAGGACATTCTCTGCCTTTCAAGATGACTTCATAATTTTACTGTACAATAATATGCGATCAGTATGCCCTCTTGTTCATCAGTATTCTTAGTCTTATTACAGCCAATTCACCGAATTCTAGTTAGAGGAGGGTGGCAAGTTTTCAGACCAAGCCTGGGAGGAAGAGCCCAAAGACCTGGCTGCTATTTCCCCTGAAGGGACAAGAAAGGGACAAGGTGGGAGGGTGGGGTATGACAAGTAGGAGGAATTAAGAGATAAGAGGTTAGAGAGACACAGAAAAGAAGAAGATAAAGAAAATCTACTTATGGAGCGCCTGCGTGCCTCAGTCAGTTAAGCGTCTACCTTCGGCTCAGGTCGTGATCTCCGTGTCCTGGGATCGAGCCCCACATCGGGCTCCCTGCTCAGCGGGGAGTCTGCTTCTCGCTCTGCTGCTGCCCCTCCCCCCACTTGTATTCTCTTTGTCAAATAAAATCTTTAAAAAAATCTACTTATATCTCTAAACGAAGAAAAAATTAAAATACAAATTCATATTTTCAAGTCCATCACACAGAACGATCCACATGCTCAAAACTATCCATGAGGCTTTCAGAAAAGTCTTTGCCATTAGAGACTCAAGTTTTAGAGCTCAAACATAACTGAAGATTCCTTCACTTGAAGATTCAAGGATATAAGGAGACAGCCTCACTGAACACAGAGTATATATTTTAAGCCAGTGAATTCAAAGTTACTCTCAAGACCAATTGTAAAAATTGCCTATATAATCCATCCTCATCCTAAAAATTGACTCATCACTGATCCATATACTTGACCACACTCACTTTCAACCATTCTCCGTTTTTCGAGTTAATATTCATCTCTGCTACAGAATGGATGGCATAAATATCAGCCCTATGAAAAAACTTTTATTAAAAAAGTTGTTTTCCATAAATGATGAAAAAAAATTAAAAACTCCTGAAAATAGTGAAGAAAAAAATCCCAAGGCAGAATATGCTTTGTTAAATCTGAGCCACCCACCCCCTGGATCCGTCACGCTTTATGGCCAGCACTGTGCCAAAGGAGGAAGTGCCATATACATTGATTTGCTTCCACCTCCACAATTTAAATCAGAGCAAAACACCAAAAGATATATCTTATTGAGAATTACCTATAAAATCGCAAATTAAATCACCATGGTTATACCCTGAGATGCTAGTCCTGAAACATAACCACATATGTTCAATTAGTTTCTACCTACCACCGTCTTTGAGGGAAAAAATACAGTAATCAACAATAGGTTAATTCGAAGTAATTTAAAAATCGGAACTGGAGTCATGGAATCAGGTGAGAAAAAAATCTATGATGATTTTAAAACAAACTGAGTCGTTGACAGATCATGAAACATAACAGAATACAAAAGCACTGAATCATATAAAAATACTATGTGAAATCCACAAAATAAAACAGAAAGGAGCATTTGTATGTGTTAAAATAATTTAATTCTCCCTGTACATTTCTGTCCATGTGAGCCAAGAGAAATCAAGAATGTATACTTTACAGTATGTACCTGTTTTGAGACATTCAAGTCAATTCAGATGGCAAAGTAGAATTCAATCACTAATGAAATGTTTAAAAAATATATATTAAACAAAAAAAATGTTTTTACAAGATAAAAAATAATCTTCCACAATGCAATAAATTGCAGATCACCGAAATTTTAACTCTTTAGATGACTTCAGTTCAGTTTTTGGTTTCAAAATCTAGAGACAATCAAAAAGAAAAAGCGTTGGCAGAATTTCTATCTGTTTTTACGTTTCTCTTTCTTGCTTCGACTACTTGTTACACTGTTTAAAGAACATGATGAAGGTGCTCTTGCATGACCTGTGGCCTTCAGATGGTCAAAAAGTTTATTCCGGGATGGAAATTCACTATGGCAGGTTGCACAGCTGATAAGAACATCACTCTGAAGAGGGAAAAAAAATCATAAATAAGAGCAAGTGTTATTACCCGAGAGCAGTGATTTGGGTTTTCATGTTGAGATCAACAATCAAATAATTCAAAATAAAGACCTTTTAACAAAATGACGGCCATTAAGACAGGCTCAAAAGAGGCAGCTATTCACAGAAGTCCCATCAACCAACTCCATCGACTTTAAGAGGCCTGAGACATTCAACAGTATGCATCGTGTGGACTGCACTGAGGTTTTAGATTTCAAAGTAATAGAAAACTGAGCAGTAACGTTCTGCTAGTCTGGTATTCTCAATGCGCCTTTTACTTTTGAAGAACAACAGTAACAGCAGCACAGATATAAATTCTGCGTTCGTCAAGAAAACCTGTTGATGGAGCCACACCCATACAGCAGGCGCAGAAGGGCCCACCAAACACATCTTCAGAATCAGAACTAAGAATTTAAATTATATTGCTGAAACAAGGTCCACTGAAAATATGTCAATATGATTTTGACCTACCACTGTCTGTGGTTCAGCAGGTACTTTGACAGATTTTTTCATATCTTTGGCTTTCTTTCCTTTGGGTTTAGGAGCACTGGAAAATAAATCATAGAATTCTTACAATCCAATAATGTATATATAATAATGTATTCCCTTTGTTATTCTGCTCCCAAGAAGACTCAAAAGAGTGACATGGACTTTAAAGGTTAATTCATTAGTTTTTAATGGCCAACCTAATTAATTTTCACATCTCAAATGAAGAGCTTTCAAGAGCAACTTTAAATCACACAGATGTCAAATTTGACACAAAAAATAAGGAATTTACTTAAAACAGCTGAAACACAAGCCACAACACGTTACAGGCTTGTGCGGTTCCTTGCCCTCCTTCTCTCAGAGCCCCAGGCCTAGCCCCAGGCCTCCACCACTGTGTTTGCCTCACTGACGCCAATTCCTAAACGCCCACGTGCACTGCGCCGCCCCGTCGCTGCTGCTCCAATGGTCATAAGCGCTGGCAACTCAGGCTCCCACTTTACACTGTCATTTGAATTCTTTCTCATGGTCCTAGACAGGGACCTGATGCTACTTACTGTTCAGACCTTTCCTCAAGGAGTAAGAAATTATTCTCTGCTCTAGAGGAACAGAGGAGGCCGGCGACAAGAAAGTAAGACAAGGCAGGAAGGAGAGGACCAGGAATGCTCTCTCCCCTGAGAGAGACCTTCCTCTGGCCAGCCACTGTGACCCTGTGCGGCAAGAACATTCCAGGGCCCCTGCCAGCAGGAAGGCCCCAGGCTGTGCATACAGAGCCTGGTGACCTGCACTGTGGGGCCCAACACAGGAGGGCAGCCATGAGCATGGACACACAGTTCCAGATGCTCCAGGCAAGTGGGGCACAGCCTCATCAGGAGACTTGTTCTCATGTGAGTGTCAAGGATTACTGATCCAGGATAAAACAAGGACCTCAACAGGATAGAAACTGGATCAAAGTGCCTTTCTGATTTGGGCCATATTGCTGAAATGTCTGTGACCACATTCCTCTTCCCAACACGCTTCGTCTGTATACAGTGGGATGTCTGTCTGGATAAACGTACAAGTCACTGATACACCTGATCTGCTTCATCAATCGTGGGAAAGGTGTTATTTGAGATATGAAAAGATATTTTTCCTACCAACATTAATTAGAAAACACTATCAACCTGACTTACTTCTTAGCTTCACTTTTTGGATCATCACAGAATTCGACAGTCTCAGTGACACTGATACTTTCTTGGGGACTCCCATCCAATTCTTTGGTACGGTCTTGATTTAAGTTGGTATCTTCTGATTCAACCTTTACTTCTTCTCCAGTTCCATTTTTATTGAAATTATCATCAGAATTCTAGGTAATAAAACATGTATGCATTACAAAATAAATAACAGTAATAATCCCAGCTTATGATACCAAATAATTATGCTAAACAATTACAATGTCCTGTATGCCCTGGAGGAGGAGATCTTCAGGAAATAAAAAGAAAAAGCAGGTAATAATTTAAAAAACATGAATGCTCATTACAGAAATATTAAATTAGGAAAAAACTGGAAACAATCCATATGTTCAATAAGTGAATAGTTGAATTATGAAGGGAATTACGAAGTTCTTAAAAATCATGTTTGCAAAGACACTGATTCAATTTTGTGGAACAGTACGTACAACATATTAGCTAAAATATAAAAGAAAATTATACATAATGTCTGATTACAATTTAATTCCAAGTAGTATCTATAGGCAGAATTAGGGGTGATATTTATAGTTCTCTATATTTCCCAAATGATCTGCAATGAGCACCTATTACTTTTATAGTTAGAAGAGAAAAAAAAACAACAGCAAATAAGCATTATAGAAAAGACAAAGCTTGGCAAACACACCTTCACTCCGTGAAGAGTGTTTGTTGTTGTTGGTTTGGGTTGGGGCAACCTCCTGCCACATTTGCTTTCCCTTCCCTTCCTCCCTCCTCTCAGCACACACACACACCCCACCCCCATACCCAGAACGATGAAAATAAGTTACAGGCGGATATCATGACACTTCCCATGTGTCTCCTAAGAACAAAAACATGCTACCCTCTTCCCCACAATACTCTCTTCATACTCAAGAATTTAATGCTGATGTGATCTGCTCCATAATCCATATTCACAACCCAGTAACATCCTTTCCTTGTGAGCGACAATCGAGGACCACATGCTGCGTGTAGTGGTTATGCCCCTTGAATCTCCTTTGTTCTCGAACCACAGCCCTACTTTTTGTCTTTCATGGTACTGACAATCTGCTGGCTATTCTGTCCCACAGTCTGGCTTTGTTTGATTGTCTCCTTAGGATTAGATTCAGGTTACACATTTCTAGCAAAAATATTAGCACCAAAGTATCTATGAAGTTCAAGATTTATTTTTTTGCAGGTAATTTTGTCTTTGGAATGTGTCCCATGGAGGGTGTTCAGAGTGCTCAAAGGTGACTTAAATTCCTCCTTTCTGTTAGCCAGGGTCCTCTGTTTACATTCAATTTCAGTTTTCTGGGTTTTCTTTTACCATCCTGTTGGGTTATGCAAATTTTTTTTCTGACCATACAGAAAACTCTCCCAGTCTGAAGTTTCCTGATTCTCTGTATTTGCTGCTCTTCAATCTACTAGTTCACATCTCCACGCTACCTTCCCTTCAAAAAGAATTGAGAAAACATCGGGAAAAGTGCTACATACAACTAGGTCTGAACTGGGACTTTCTTCCTGAAAGAATCAGAAATCCTCAACAAGAGGTATTACTATAAAGGAATACAGCTTTGGAGGGGAAAAAATGGGGTAGTAAACGAAGCATTTTCATTGGTAAGAAAACACAAATACATGTGTTTATTACTGCAATCTATAGGACCTACTCTTCCTGACTCCAGACAAGATAGGCTTGGGTTAGGTATAAATCTCTCTTATCTTGTGTTTATTCTAGTGGTTCTGGCACACTCAAAGGAGAGAGGAAATGTTCTAAGCTAATGACTATAGAGTCTTTGGGTAGAAGACAGTATGAGTCATTTTAAAAAGGAACACAGAACTTGCTATGTGGTTTTATAATTGAAGCAAAAGTTCCAAGTCACAAATTTTAACAGTGATAAGTTCATGTATCATGTATCATTTTTGGAATATGAGACAGATAAAAACTACTTTCAAATATATAACCGTTTAAATAGATAAGCCAAATCTAAAGTTTTACAAAAAATTACTGTGTTAACTAAATTTTCTTAAAAATATTTTCAGTTTTCAAAAAGAACTGTAACATTTAATACTTAATATAAGCTAATATAATGAGATTATATTAAAGTAGCACAGAAATCAATTCCATTCCCTTAAGAACCACCAAATATCCTTAGCAAAATGGACAAGCTCATTGTGTGTTTATACGTCTACAGGATTGTTACGTATAACATAATAACTTTTTATTTAAAAATATTCTTGAGATTGGATTTAGACACCAGGTGTGAAATATTTAAGCTACTTACATTTCTGAGTAATACTAACATTTTTTCAAGAATCATAGTCATTACACATTTCTAACCAAATGTTCCTTTTGCAAAATTTCATTTGTTGTTGGCAAAAGAAACCTAGATATACAATAATCAACCCTCAGATTTTCACATATTTCTGATTTTAACTGTTATCTTGATTTAAAGACCCAGTCACCACATGTGTCCAGATATTTTTTTAATATGATCACTCAGCTAATTAGTATCTGGGAATTAATTTCACCTGCAAAATTTTAAGACACATCGACAACAGTAATTAAGTAAATTAGCTACGTACATATTAATGGAGGAAAAATGATGAAGAAAGAAAATTGTTTTCAACTCCCTTCAATCTTTTTTATAATCAACATAAAATTATAGAGTGAAAAATACAAACTATACTGAGTAAACAAGAGCAGTCCAACTTTATGTTTGATATTTAATGTTAATAAAACTTTTTCAACATACCTGTGCTGGTTTCTGTTTCTTTTTCTTCTGCTTTTTGGAAAGCCTAAGAATAAATATAAATCAAAATGTCAAATATTTAACTCTGTGACTACTAAGTGAAGAAAAAAAGTACTAAAACACAACTGATACAGAGGGAAGTGAAATTTTAAAAGTAATATCATAGGATATTAAAAAGAAAATATTCACATTATCATTAGAAAATTAGAACTGTGGTTCCATTGATGGTAATTAGCATAGTTCAAAAGTGTTTATTTTTTTTTAATTTTTTATTGTTATGTTAGTCACCATACATTACAGCATTAGTTTTTGATGTAGTGTTCCATGATTCATTGTTTGCGTATAACACCCAGTGCTCCACGCAGAACGTGCCCTCTTTAATACCCATCACCAGGCTAACCCATCCCCCACCCCCTCCCCTCTAGAACCCTCAGTTTGTTTCTCAGAGTCCATAGTCTCTCATGGTTCGTCTCCCCCTCCGATTTCCCCCCCTTCACTCTTCCCCTCCTGCTATCTTTTTTTTTTTTTTTTTTAACATATATTGTATTATTTGTTTCAGAGGTACAGGTCTGTGATTCAACAGTCTTATACAATTCACAGTGCTCACCATAGCACATCAAAAGTGCTTTTAATAGTCATAATATATTCTGTAAAAATTCTATGTGACATCATGCTTTACCCATTTCAATACTGTAAGTTCCCTTATGTAGAAAAAAATGTGGAAAAATATTAGCATAACAGAATAACTTCTTAGATAAAATAGCATTTAAATGCAATCTCATCTCTAATGTGGTAAGTACGTCTAGAAGCATTTTTAGAAGTACTTTTGTTTTGGTGCATTTTCTATTTCTTCCTCAGAATTGGCATTCAATGGATTTTCATCAGTTTGAGGTCCTGAAAAATTCTCTTCCTCCTCCTCCAACTGTTGTTTTAACAAGGCAACCATTTCCCGATGCTTCTTTGATTTTTCATGATTCCTCATGCTGAAAGAACAATCTGACATTAGTAACCACAACAGGATTCATATGTGCCCAGATATGTGGCTGAATCAATGCAACCACGTTAAAATTCATTTTTCCCCAGTAAGGAAGCAAAATGTTGGGGATCCGACAAAGAGAAGCAGAAGAACCCTGTCAGGACCTCTCGGGCAGGAGGACTTGGCCAGCCCACAGGGGTGCTCTTCTTCCCTGTACCCCGGCATTCCCCTTTCCCTCTGTCCTTTCATCTACATATTGTCTTCCAATTTTTTTTTGGTCAAGATCTCTATTATTTTTACTTTCTAATTCTTAAAATTCAAGACTTCTCCACTGTTTCCTCTTAATCACTGAGTATTAGCCAAGCACGTGCACGTTCCAGGTTGCACCGTGGGCTTTGGAAGATGCTGAGAAATTACAAGACAACATTCCAGCTTGAAGAGAAGACTGCTTGGGTTACGATGTGAGGGCCTCAGGTACCAGAGTAGTTTACCCCCTTTTGCTTTTTTCAATAACTGTCTTTCGCCTTCTCCAAGAGGGCTCTCCCCTCTCACTCCCACCATCCTAAATGTGAGTTCAGACACATCTACACCCATCTGCCTAAAACTTTCTGAGCCATTGTCTCTTTCAGTGCATCTGTGGGCCATGAAGTAACACTCCACAAAATAGGGTTGACAATACTTAAGTACCAGAATTATTAGATGAACAAGAAAGTAGGAAACTTATGTCCACACTATTCACTTTATCTCATCTGTTCAGACTTGGATTTTCTAGTCTCCATTGCTACTCTCCCTTTCCACTAAAATTCTCCTTCATACCATGGTCTCTTAGAGAAATTGGAACATCTTGTGCTAGAAAGTAAGTGCTCAAAAAAATGACTGGGACATGTCAAAAGGACACAGGAGCCACCTTGGAGGAACTCTCATTAATCGTATCTGGAAAAGTTTGAACATGAAAAGTACAGGAATAAATTCTAAAACACTGAAAAACTTCACAAATTCATACTCATAATAGACAGCTGGATGGAGGAAAGGTCGGGCTCTTATTGAGAGCAGAAGGCCTACTGAGGACTAATAACGGAGAAGGAGCACTGGTACCAGAAAAGCCCCCTTTTGGAACCATTATGGTGCCAAGTGGCATAAGCTGAAATCATCAATGAATGCCAAATCTAGGACATTCTGAGGAGCAAGATACTTGCCTAACTTTAAAGTGTCTCCCCACAGATTAAACAGGCTATAAGGTAAAATCTGTCGCAAGGGGAAAAGAATGCTAACTCTACAGTGAAAAAATTAGACAGCGTCCTGGCTGGTTGATCAAAACTATCACCACCAAAGAAGGGCAGACAGACGCAGACGTTGTATGCTTTCAGAAATGAAGACCCGAGAGCAACACGACATGTTGATGTGGTATTCCAGCTGGAGACTGAAACTAATCATGAGGAGACGGACATTCAAGACGATAAATACTCCAGTAAAAAAAAAAAGGTTTTAAAGGGCCCGTATTCTGGAGTTAACAACGGCACAGACAAGGGAACTGATCCAGATTAAATAAGACTAAATAAATGAACGCAATCCATGATCCTAGACCGGATCCCAACTGGAGTGGAAGAGACTCCGTACAGGACGTGAACAGAGGATGTGCTGACAGAAGGGGGATTCGGGCGGTAAAGGAGGTAAAAGGAACATATCAGTGTTAACAAATTTCCTGAAGCTGACAGGGGTCCTGTGATCATCTACCAGAATAGCCTTATTCTTAAGGAATACATACTGAAGTATTTAGAGGTAGACGAGCATTATGCACGTAACCTACTCTCAAATTTTTTCAGGGAAAAACGGTGTGTGGAGCAGGGGAGGTGGGGGGAGAGAGAGAGAAGGGGTGCACCAAATGGGGCAAAACATCAGGTGAATCGGGCGCTCTGTATTCTATCCTTGCAACTTCTCTGTAAGTCTGACATTGTTTCCAAATAAAAAAATAATTTTTTAAATCTCCTTCACTGTTGCTTTTGTTTTCCCGTTTCTGACTCTTCTGCCCTTGCCACGTCTCTTAGCACGCTACAGTTTTTTTCCCCTCGGGGTTCCACACCAACACCTTTTACGACCCACACCCCCACTGGCATCCTTCGGTCTCCCTTCTCCTTTCCTGCATGTGTTTTGTTTCTTTGTCCCTTGCTGACTCTACTTTTGTTTTCTGCCCTATTCTTTCTCCTCTCTTCAGAACAGTATCCCTTCAAATCCTTCTCTCTTCTTCCTTGTTTCCAAAAGGCAAAGTCCCTCCACTTCAGCAAGTATAATTTAGGCAGGACACGTTTAAAGTTCCCGGTTGGCAGCACTGGCCTGCACGGGAGTGTGACGGCTGGAAGGGGGTCTGCCACCAACAACAGAGACTAGCTTTGGTCTAGCCTCGGCTGTGTGACTGTGCCTTCTTTGTCGCAACAAGCAGCAACACGGAGACACATCCAGGTTTTAAAAAGCAGCATGAATGAGAATCAGCACAACGTGCTTATTCACCACCAGTACAAATCCTTCTTCCTCTGCGGCCCAGAAATCCCCCAAGAGAACATGGAGGAGGGCTGGTGACCCACTGCTATGAGCACTTTCTTTTTAGGGCTTTCAGCGTTCTAGTTCACCTCGGAAGAAAAGGGGAGTTCAGAGATCTTAAACTTACGCCTTTTCCGTCTTAAAAGATTTGTCACATGCTGGGCAGTAAAGGTCATCATACAGCTCAGCATCCTCAGCCTCATCACTGTCTTTACCTGCACGAAGGAAGTCGAAAGTAAGAATCCTGTTTGAATAGAACCCAAATCTAAAACATGTTAACAAATTACATGTCTTTAGTAACAATCTAATATCGCAAACAAGTTAGAAATTGTATTTCCTTACAAAAAAGAAATAACGTTACCAGGATTTGAGTTGACTTTTTAAAAGCAGTCCTGAATTATAAGGGGAGGCTTCCAAATCAACCACATTATCTTTCCAGTTCTTCTCATAAGTCTACTAAGACTCAAAGTCTTCTCAAAGTTCTCAGTGTGAGCTAAGTTCAGAAAATCAAATGCCACTTTCATAGTTCCACCACAAAGCAGTTTTTTCAACAAAAGTTTTTCAGTTTCCCCCTTGAGCAAGATTCGATGCAAACACATTTGTAACTGTAATCTACTCTTAAATGCTTTAGCGTTTAACACTCCATCACTATTTGACAGGCTGGTCATAAAAGAGCATACTATATGTAAACTTTAATAATGTCTTTATACCCTTGTTTTTTTATAAGCTTGGGGCTTTATTACAATGAAATAATTACTATCAATATAGTCCACAAAATCTAAGCGACTAAAATGCTGAACTAAAAGTCTTTGCAAAATCCCATCTATCTTTATAAGAAATAATCAAGTAAACTGACTGCTACTGAGATCAATAAATGGGATCATACAATGAGATTAATAAAGATCCCAAGGTATCTTTTCTATAGTCTACATTTTGGTTCTTCATATGTAAGTGATATGAATAGGACTTGAAAGACATTCTCATTGAAATCATAAATGATCAAAACTCATTCTACCTAGTATTAATGTTTAATAAATGTTGTTATTGTGCAATTACCTGTACCCTTTCACTATATAAACGATTAATCAAATAGTTAATAAAGAATGTTGGATTTGAAGTCAAAATCTGGATCTAAAAATGATCACATGGCAGGCCTATATGCCAAAGCTTCTCAGAATCTTATTTTCCTCTTTAGTAAAAGGGAAATCATTCTATGAGCAAAACATACATGTAAGGGGTATTGTGTAAAAGCTCTTGCATGTGAAAGCACTTCATAAATTTTACATAAAACTCTAATTATGCCACCTCACGTTTATAGAATGCATAATTTTCAAAAGACCTGCACAAAAACTACTTCTAATTCATTAATAGAAAATTTCATAACCATTTTGAGTAAATAAAAGTCCATCATTTTGTCATTTGGCTACCAGTCTAAAACAACACATTTGTAGATAAGGTGAAACTGTGCTAGATCCTTCCACATTATTCCTCATGGAATAGCTAGAGACAACTCAAAAGGTCAGGTTATTCTCCACAATGCCTACTCCTCTCCTGTTCAGGTAGTCACATGCCTTGCGCTCTCACAAGAGAGGCACCAAAAGGACAGTTTTCAGCACACCAGGAGGAGCCCCTCAAAAAAGTCAAATGAGAGGAACAATTTATATATACTACGTAGACTCCTGTACAATTTTTTCTGGAAAGAGCTGCTATTAAAACTTGACCTGAGCTTCACTGCAGGTTTTTAAGTAACCAACAGTCACACCTGTCAATATGCCCATTTGCCAATGCAGCCAGAACCACAAACTGTTTAAAGCATGGTCAGAAAAGAGTTTATTAATCAGATAAACTCTTGTTTCTTATTCTAGTAGTCTAGGAATTAGACAACGTCAGTGGTCTACCTTTGCTTGGCCTACACAATATTGTTTTTCATTTTAATTGTCTGCCACATTTAAGAGCTGGAAGAGGTCCCCTAAAAATCCAGATTTCCAGCTCTGCTTAGAAAGCAAACAGACACGAACACCCCGGCAACAGGGGTCCCAGCAGCAGTGGAGTGGACTCTGGCGTTCCCAGGATGCAGCCAGGCCCCCGCTTCCGACTGCCCCCTATAAGCACCCTGGGTGTATAACGCCTGAGCACAGAAACATTCACTTTCTCGAGTTTCCTAAGGAATGAAGTTACCATCATGCCCATCTTTGAGCTCAGATTCCTCTGTGTCATCTTCATCTGATCCGTCTCCAAATTCCTTCTCGTAGCGTGCCTCCATCTCCTTGAGCTCCTTCTCCAGGTCGGCCACGGTCATCCAGCTCTGTTCCTTGTACTGCTCGGCCAGTCTAGACACACAGCACAGCCCCACTTATGCTGAGAATCAGGTCTCCACGCTGGTTCTACTTACCCCATAGGCCTCCAACCCATGCCCTGGAGAGCGTCTTCCTCCACTGTCAGTGTTGAGTTCAAGTGGGGGCAGTCGCTTATTTGTTATGTGGTTGATTTTAACTATTAGACTACCTAGATTTTAACTATTTCTATTAGATAATGGGCTTTGAAACCTATAACTCTTAGCAAGTTATTAAAAGTCTTGAGGTGTTTTTAAATCCTAAGTGGTGAGCAAAGTGCTAATTTTCCAAAAATGAAGGTTGGGGGGGTAGAATTTATAAGAAGTGAATAATCTTTAAAAGAATGCTACAGTGCTCTGGACACAATGCTTTTACACTAACTCCAAGTAACAGAGCACTGAAGGCATGAAAATGAACTAAAGATCTGGAGCGTGCCATCAAAGAGGCAGGACGGCGAGGTGGGGCAGAGCAGGGGCACTGTGCCAGCGTCTTGGGTCCAAGTCCCGCCTCTGTGACTTCCCAGCTATGGGATCTCGGACCCGTCGGCTTCGCCCCCTCAAAAGGACGAGGAGAAAAGCCAGAACTTACTTCGCAGAACTGCTAGGACAAAAATGCGTAGAACAGGGCCTGGTCCAGAGGCAGAGATCAGTGGACAGTCATTACTATTATGTCTCACAAGAGTCTGGAAAGGATCTCAAGAATAAAGGGCCTTTGAAGGCAAACATGCAACGCAAAGGGGGGCTGATGGAGCCAGGATGTGGAAGTGGCCCTCCCACCCCCGTGAAAGTGCCCCGTCAGGCCTGGCCCCACATCTCTACGGGGCAAGGGGCCTGGCCGCGCGTCCCAGCGCGTCCCGTACTTGGCCTGCTTCAGCTTCTGCCGCCGCCTCATCTCCTCCGCCTTCCTGGCCCTCTCGGCGTTCTGTTCCTCCACGAGCTTCCGATGCGCCTGCACTCTTCGGTCTCTCTTACGGATGAATGCCACCAGCTGGCGCACCAGCTCGTTCTTCTCCTTCCTTGCTTTGTCGCGAATCTTTTTGTTTTCTTTTTCCATGGCACGTTTCTCCCAGCGGTTTGAAGCTTGTCGTGTATCATATTCTTCCTTCCAAGCAAAGTTCTTCTGAGTGCAGAAACTCTGCCAATAGGCATAGAAAGGATGGACTACCTAGAGACAAAAAAAACAAGTAAAATGCTGAGGTGTAAGATTTTTTCCCTCAGCAAGGCAGCAAATATCAGTGATGCAAAACATCTTCTCTTTTTTCATATACATCACATCACTACTAGTCAATGGAGAAGACAGTCCTCTTAGGGCTTTACAGAATAAATCACTCTCCAGAACAAACTGAATGAGGTAATGAGTGGGACGGGACTCCGCTTAAAAAAACAGGAAAAAGTAAAGAAGGATGCTCTGAGGGCACTGAAAGCCCCTCCAGGAAGGGAGAGAGAGGGAGAGACTTAGTCACAGTATAGGACCAAGACCTAGGATCCATGCTTCTTAACTAAAGAAATGGGGACGGGGTGCCTGGGTGGCTCAGTTGGTTAAGTGATTGCCTTTGGCACAGGTCATGATCCCAGGGTCGTGGGATCGAGCCCCACATCAGGCTCCCTGCTCAGTCTGGTGCCTGCTTCTCCCTCTGCCTCTATCCCCCCTGCTCATGCTCTCTCCTTCACTCTCTATCTCAAATAAATAAATAAAATCTTAAAAAAAAAAAAAAGAAGAAGAAGAAGTGGGGAGAAAACACACTGGTAAATGCTAATTACAAAACGGCAAAGCAGTTTTCTTTTACCGTATCATAGTCACTCTGGGAGTCTCCAAAAGTGGGGAAATCTTCCATCTCCTCTTCTAACACAGATTCTAGCTCTTCCTTCGCAATCATTTCAAAAACGTTACGATAAACTGTATAAAAGCCCTAAAAAACAGTAGCAAGAGCACAAATTCTTAATACTTTTATAGTCTAATCACCAATTATGATTTTAAAATGTAACAGGAAAAACTTTAACGTTAAAGAATTATGGGCTCAAGTTCTGTCACTGCAAGAACACTTAGGTTTCAACTGGAGGTTTTCAGATGCTGACAGTTTAAACATGAAGGCAATATTTTTTCACTTTTCAAAATGAATACTGTTTCACCTATTATAAAATAATTCTGAGAATTTTCTTTGTGTTTGAAAGTCTCGTGCTTGATCAGAAATTAAGAGTGAGTTCATTTACCTTTTCATCATCTCCATAACCAGAGTAACAGGTCACAGTGAAATAGTGAAGCAAATCTAAGCTGTCGTCTTGATATTCCCCATCAAGCCCACCTTTAAGTAGAGCCTCTCTATGATTATCATACCTAAACAAACAAAACAGATTAGTATCCTCTCAGTGATCACTGAATAAATAAGATTGCAGAAGGATGCTTTACTCTGAAACAGCCAAATTATTATACATTAGTCCAATCCATACTAAAAAAATTTTTTTCGAATATCAACATGAAAAGACATAGTAATCCTTCAGAGAACTGATTAAAAATATGACGGCAACTTTCAATACGATGGAGGCATTATACAGTACTCATCCATATGAACAATGCAATTTAACAAGCCAGGGAATTTCCATGACTCCCCCAGAAAGGTAGCTGCATTTCTACAGGTAAGAAATATTACTAAATAGGTCAGCACTGGACATAATCTGCTCCACAGACTGATTATATATTTGTGATCAGATTTACCAACATAGACCAGAACAAGACTCTTCCTAGGTTTATGTAAACAATCTACGAGTTTCACATACACACAATTACTCCTTATAATAACTCTGTAAGTTAGTTCTTACCCCCAAAGATATAACAGGAAACTGAAGCTCAGTGGTACTAAACAATTTGTCCGTAATCACAAACCCAATAAGCAGCAAAGCTAGAATTCCAAACCGGGTCTCCTGCACTAGAAGGACCGTGCTCCTAGTAACCGTGCAGTCTGGCCTGCAGGTCACAGGAGAGTTAACAGCAGGGGCTTCAGACAAAAAGACAAGAGAGTCCTTAGCACAGGAAGGCCTCCTGAGATCTGGAGAAGCAGACAGAGCCAAGGAAGTCAGGAAAGAGTTTCAAAGTTCCTAAAGGAAAGCAAAAGCATTTCTAAGGCCACATCTCCAAATTTTTCAGGAGAAAAATGTAGGATTCTCTGATTTTCACCTAAAAGACAACTGTTAAAGAGTTGTTTCTTTACGGCCTTTCTCCCTCAAGAGCCAGCTGTGTTGTACACTGTTTAACACACACAAGACTCGTGCAGCAACACTGAACACCCGCCTGCTCTTTATAACAGCAGGCTCTTGCACAGCTATGTCCAGGCTTAAAACCTATTCCTTCGTAGCACAAAGTTCATCAGAATCTGAAAACTTTGGTTAAACATAGAAATTTTTGCCTGGGGGGCTCAGTCGGTTAAGCATCTGCCTTCGGCTCAGGTCATGATCCTGGGGTCCTGGGATCGAGTCCCACATCGGGCTCCCTTCTCAGCGGAGAGTCTGCCTCTCCCTCTGCCCCTCCCCCCCATGCTTACTCTCTCTCTCTCTCTCAAATAAATAAAATCTTAAAAAAAAAAAAAAAGGAAAGAAATTTTTGTCTGAAAATGATATTAAACTGTCAGGTCATCAAAAGTAAAAGTATCTGTCATAGATATGGAAGCTTAACTCCATTTCTTCATATAAAGTAGTTCTTGGGGAAAAACGCAATTCTTGCTCTGAAGCACTGTTTTTAAGGACAAGTCAACATTCTTGTCCAACACCAGTAAACTTGTCATACACCAAAGAGATCCCATTTAATGAGAAGTAACTTCACAAGTATCAAAGTTAAATCTATATAATATTGCCAAGCTTTGTTCCACCACCTATAAAATAAAATAATTGGAATATTCACCTCTAAGGTTCCTTCCAACTCTAATACTGAATTTTTTTTATCTTATTATGTTATGTTAATCACCATACATTACATCATTAGTTTTTGATGCAGTTTTCCATGATTCATTGTTTGCGTATAACACCCACTGCTCCATTCAATACGTGCCCTCTTTAATACCCATCACCAGGCTAACCCATCCCCCCACTGTCCTCCCCTCTAGAACCCTCAGTTTGTTTCTCAGAGTCCCTAGTCTCTCATGGTTCATCTCCCCCTCCAAACTCCCCCCCCCCCCTTTTCTCTTCCCCCTTTCTCTTTTTTTTTTTTAAACATATAATGTATTATTTGTTTCAGAGGTACAGGTCTGTGATTCAACAGTCTTACACAATTCACAGCACTCACCATAGCACATACCCTCCCCAATGTCTATCACCCAGCCACCCCAGCCCTCCCACCCCCCACCACTCCAGCAATCCTCAGTTTGTCTCCTGAGATTAAGAATTCCTCGTATCAGTGAGATCATATGATACATGTCTTTCTCTGATTGACTTATTTCGCTCAGCCTAATACCCTCCAGTTCCATCCACATCGTTGCAAATGGCAAGATTTCATTCCTTTTGATGGCTGCATAATATTCCTGTGTGTGTGTGTGTGTGTGTGTGTGTGTGTGTGTGTGTGTGTGTGTACACATGTTCTTTATCCATTCATCCGTCAATGGACACCTTGGCTCTTTCCATAGTTTGGCTATTGTGGACATTGCTGCTATAAACATCAGGGTATTTACCCCAAAGATACAAATGTAGGGATCTGAAGGGGTACATGCACCCTGATGTTTATAATACTACATTTTCTATAATGAATAGGTGACAGATACCTCAGAACACACTGAAACATTTGACAAATATACATTTTTTTAGATCTTCTACTGATAATTCTTCCCAACAAAATACACTAAGATAGGAAGGACAGTGTGATGCTCACCATGCTCTTTCCTGAGGGTCACTCAACACGTCATATGCTGCTTGGATTAATTTAAATTGTTCAGCTGCTTCTGCGGCATTATCCAGATTTTTATCTGTTAAAATAAAGTCACAGATATTCAGTCACCAAACAGGTAGAGGACAGAATCTAAAAGGGACCTCTTCCATCACAAATGCCATAAATAGATGAGGAGTGTACAAAACAAAGAAAAACAATCAGGGAAGAGCAGAGAGATCCCGGTGAGAGTTGATAATCAGGATATGTGAGCAGTATCTGCTTAAGTAGAAACTGCATGCGTTCCCCTAAGCCTTGGTGCATCACTGAGCACTCAATCTGGATATCCACAAATGGAAAACCCTGAGTAGTATACGTTTTATTTTTAGAAAAAGCAAAATATATACATCAAATCAGTTACAGAAGGACTGTTACTATTTAGTGTTAAATTATGTTTATTGTTCGCATGGTCTTTATGTTTTTTCTTTCTTATCAACGTAGACCAAAATAAATCTCATAAAGCTTTAGAAATACATACTAATTCTTCTTCTCTTAGCTGTGCTTCCTTAACTGTGAGTCAGAGAGCACCTCTGCCTCAGGGAGGTGGGCAGCTTCCAAGATGGCCCCCAAGGATCCCCACCTCCTGGCACTCACACCCTGTGGACCCCCTTCATGGGTCACCAGGGTTGGTCTGTGAGACCAATAGCAGGCAGCAGAAATGATGATGGCATGCTAAATTACTTCTGAGATTAGTTTATAAAAGACTGCAGTTTCCATGTTGGGCTCTCGCTCTCTTGGATCGCTCTGGGAGTAGCCAGCTGCCACAGCAAGAAGACACTCGGGTGGCCCACGTGGAGAAGAACAGAGGCCTCTGGCCCACAGCCAGCAAGGAAACAAGGCCTGCCAAAAGCGGGTTTTCCCAATGAGGATACCACTTCATGAGGAGCCCTGAGCCCAAACCACCCAGCTAAGCCATTCCCACACTCTGATCCTCAGAAACTGAGTCCATATAATGAACGTTTGCTGTGTTTATTGGTTTAAGCCCTAAGTTTTTGGTAATTTGTTATGTAGCAACAGACATCTAATATACTCAGAAAGCAGAATATTTTCAATCTACTCTGGAGCATACCAAAATTTTATAAGCTACAACTCAATACTTGCCCTCTAAGAGGCCAGAGTTAAAATAGGACAGAAACATATTCCCTAGGAATAATCTTGCAGCCTTGGAACAAGACCCTTGAAGGCATCCTGCCTCCTCTTTTTAGGTACCATCACAGTGGGTGTCCAGTCCTTCAGGCGATTTTCTGCTCGACCGCTACCACGGACAATACTTTCTCAAGTGCAGCAATTTGCCATAGCTCTCTTTACTAAGATGCTTTCACCTAAAAAGCTTTCAATATCTTTTTAGAATCATGGTAACTTTAAATCAAAAGAAAAAAACTCCTCCATCCCTGCAGCCCAGCTGTAAGTGGCAAGTAACACAATGCCAGTCCTAAATCCCCATCACAGTGCAGCCCCTCTGAAGACTGCCAATGGTTAGCTCAAAGTCCACCTTTCCCCGGGACTAAATATTCCCATTTCTCATGACACACTATAATCCTCTACTTCCAATGCAGTCAGAAACAGGCACCAATAATCAAGGAGCCATTCATTACTTCCTCTTCTTCACACTCTACTTTTAATCACTAGAGCTCATTACATTAACTTTCCACAACAGCATCACATTATATCATTCTGAATTTACAGCTGACAAAGTTTCATGCAGGTTTCATACTGACAAGCCAAGTGATAACTATATAACGGACTTTTTTTTAAAAACTCTGATAGAGCTCTGAATCCATTCTGTGGCAGACACTGAAGGTTAGTTCATCCAACACCTCTCCCCTTTTCTCTTGCAGCCTCTACTGTGGAGGCTAAGCTCAAGGACTTGCTTTCCAGCCTCCCTTGCTGCTAGGAATGGCTATATGACACAGCTCTGACCAATAAGGAAGTCAGCAGAAGTCTAACTGTTAGTGTATTTTCTTTCCTTCCTCTTTCTTCTTGTCTTGCATGTGGACATGATGTTTGGCGCTTCAGCTGCCATCTTGAGACTGTGAAGAAAAAGCCAAGAGATTCACAGTGATATTAAGGAACAATGCCAGCAGGCACCTACCTCCAAACCTTCTTGTGGTGAGAGAGAGAAAAAAAACCCTTTATTTATTTAAGCCACTGTGGTTAGGTTTTCTGTTATTTCCAACTAATACTACCAAATTCCATCTCGTTGTGGCCCTGTTGCAATCAGGTTTTAGGTAATACAGGACACTCAATGCCCTGTTACAATTCTTTTAAATTCTGATCCCCACTCTGTGAAAGATACTATTAGCTGCCTACCCAGTATCTAGTCTCTTCTTCTTCCTAACAAAACCCTGATTTTGTTCACATTAGTAATGTGCCCAGCTAAAAAATTCACCTCCCCAGACTTTCTTGAGGTTGGGGAGATCAGGTGACCCAGTTTTAGCCAATGAGATAGAAGCATACAGCTACCAAGTGAAACTGCCCAGGAAAGATTTTATTTTCCATATCAAAGAGATGGGCTTTGGTGGCACTCGACTTATGGCCTTACCTCAGCCCAAAGTCAGGGTATAAAGCCTACAGGTGATTATGGGGATTGAGACAGAGACTGCTAGTTTATTCTCTTCTTCCAGGAACAAGCGAAACCTGACTTTGTGGTGGGCCCCTGGTCCCATTAGAATGCCTCCATTCCTCAGTCTCCTTTGAAGCTTCGCATGACCGTGACTACGCTCTGACGCATAACACCTGTAAGAATGTTCCACTCCTGCTTTCAAGAACTTCCTTACAAGGCAACTAGCACACACTCTCTGTGTCTGCTCTACCCTTTCCTCCTCCGCTCTGCTCCCTGGGACCCCCAACGGCCACCCTGGCCAGTAAGTGAGGGCCCACCTGAAAGGTGCCGGGCAGAGTCCACAGGCCTCTTGGAGGAGAACTGCTACACAGCGGCTCGCTTGCCTGTCTCTTCACCTTGACATGACAGCAAGAAACCTTGAGCTCTGAGGCTTACTTGCTTACACTTGGTGCGAGCACTCAAGCCTTAGGATCAGGACAACGGAGCAGGTCTTTGACGGTCTCATCAAGAGCTGGAGCTACCAAGACGGGTCCCCTCTGGATTTCTTGCTAGGTGAGAAAAATAAAACTATTTGGTTTAGTTACTGTCGCCACTTTCCTGTCACATGCAGCTGAACATAGTCCAGATATGCCTTCAAGGTGAGAGTCATGATTTCTACAGCTTTCGTGATTCAAAAATACTCATGACTTCTACATCTTCATTAAATCATTCATAAACTTTGTCATAAATAAAAAAGCAGAGTCCCAATTAAGGCAGAATGGCAGAAAATGCCAGCAAATAAATCTTCCCACATAAAACAAAAAAGGTGACTGGGGGAGGTATGTGGGTGGTTCTTCTTCACCTTTTAATCAGTACTGTACTTCGTTGTCCTGTTTCTTCCCACACCCTTCCTTCCTCCTCCAAAGAAGTTTGGAGAAAGCTCAAGCTTTTAAATGCAGAAAGCCCATCAGTGTACCAGCTGAAAATAAGACCTAGCCTCTTACTAAAGCATCTTTCTTAAATAATTTTTTTCAGTCTGTCATATGGCTTATTTCACTTAAATATACCTGAACTGGTTGACTATAATGTTAAACTGAGATCTAAACACGTAAGTGCAATAAGTTAAAAAGCAGTAATAAAGAAACAAAAAGCCCACATTTATCATTAGCCACAAAGGCCATAGGTATTGCAAATCCAGTCATCAAAGCTTAAAAGGCATTCTCACACTATTCTTCGTGCTTTTCTCTCAATCCACTCACACACTCTTCTACTCCCTCCCAAACTTTTTTACAGTGCCTTCTGGAAAATTCCATGGATTGAGCCTTTTAAGTCCTGCCTTGACTGAAGCCAGGCTCTCTGAGAACACCACTTCCCTGCAGGGCTTCCTTCTTGGGCTCCTTCAGCCACAGCCCTCATATGGCAGGTCCGGGGCTGGAGCTGGCGTCCTCCTGGCTGCTGGTCCTTTACTCACCCCCAAGGGCACACTAGCATTCCTTCCAGATTCAAACCGTTGGCCAAGCCCACCTTCCTCCCCTTCTCACTGACTTTGGGCTGAGTTAGGGCATAAGGTGAGTGCCACCAAAGCCCATCACATCACTCAACCACGCCCCCTTATCTCCCTGAGAATTCTGGCACTTGACTCGGAGTTCCCATCCCCAGGTCCTATGGTCATTATGGTGACTTGAATGTACTCTGCCCTCCCAGTCTCCCTACTCCCAGTCTTGCCTGCTCCAATCCACTCTCTCCCATGGCCAGAGAGATACCTGACAAACGATAACCTATCTTTCCCCCTGCCCTTGGGTTAAAATCCAATCTACCTCATCCAGTCTACCCCAACCTCCCAGACTGGCTTATGCTTACTTGGCCATGCTCCCCTTCCTGCACTCTGTCATGCTTTGTTTGGCCTCCCTCCACCTGTACTCCCTGCTTTCTGGCTTTCGGTCTCGCCTTAGAGGTCACTTCTTCAGAGATGCACATCTATCCCACCCACACAGAAACCCAGTCCAGGTCAGGCACGTGTGTTCATAAGCATCTTGCACTTGCCTTCATACCACCCTTATCTCTCACCAGACTGAAACTACCTGTTTTCCTGGGACTCCCTGATGACTCTACGTGGCAGCAGAGCAGGGACCATTCCTGTCTCATTCACACAGTAAAGTGCTCATGGCAGTCATCAAATAAAAGCCTTCCTTTCACAAGGAGTGATCTCACTAGGAAGTAATGCTGACCCTACTGAAAATTATTTTCAGTTGCTCAATTAAAAAAAACAAAAAACAAAGAAATACCCTTAACAATGAAAAATGAGCAGCCTTTCTTTTTGAAGTACAAATTATTCTTTGAAGCAAAGCCCCTATGTTAACCTCAGAAACATCTAACACAGGACCTTGCACATAGAATGAATTAAACATTTGCTGACTGATGGACTTAACAAATTAACAAGCCAGCACAGCAAAATATATCAAAATCACGTGTCGCCTGTAGAGTATGCAACCTTTAAATGTATAGGCATCTTCAAACCAAAAGATATTTAGGATGTTATGATTTATGATGACATTCAGAGAAGACATTCACATTTCATTTCTAAGCAGTTTGGTTTCAAAATAGTTAACTGATGTTTTAGTAACGTTTACATACTTCTTCCTTTCTTGCACTGATTTCCAATTAATCGCCAAATCTGATCATTTTTCCTTCATAGCATCTCTGCAACCCGGCCTTGCCCTTCCCTCCCACTGACCCCCAGCCCGGTGTGGGCCCTTCCTCGCCATGGTGGACGCTACCTGACTTCTGTCCCCGTTCCTCTTCAATCCACTCAGCCGCACCCACAGTATCACATCAAGACATCTTCGACCCTCCCTTATTGGAAAAACAAATTTCACAGTCCTTAGCCTAACATTCAAGACCCTTTAAAATCTAATCTTAAAACTACACTCAAAAACATCTTAATATTATCATCAAAATTATATATGTATTTGGTCACAAGCATTAATCCCCTTCCTAACACTTTCCCAGCCAGAAGAGTCAAGGAATTCCTAACTTCCTTCTAATTCCTAACTCAGTCTCTGATGACAACCCCCGTTCCTTTAAGATGTTTCTATACTATTTTTGGGTTTATTAATTTTGGATATAGCTACTGGCTTCCTGCTGTGATGAATGTTTAGCTTACTTACGTCTTCCTTTCTAATATATATCACATTTGTTTAGTCCCTCTATTGGTAATCGTCACTTTAACAAACCCATACCTTTATTTCTTGTTCCACCAACTATAGACATTACCTTTTGACTTTGGGTCCCAGGCCCTTCCTTCAGCTCTTCTCTCAACCCATATTTTCAGATTTCCAATTAATACTGCCTTCGGTCAAACTGTCCCCTGGACCACCTTTTGTCCACCACGATGCTCTTCCCTCTACTCTTAAGCTAGCTTTTCCCAATTCCATTTCGCTAGGATCCAGCTAAAAAATCTAGGCTCCTCTGCCAAGGGGAAGCCTCACTGCCTCTCACGACATAGTGAAAACTCCCTCCCCTGAATTCCTGGGGCATTTATTAGTTGTTTTATTAACCCAACTACCAATTATGTAGGTTGTGCTATTTTGTTTGCACTTGTATTTAACTTTTCGTGGTTTACAGCATGTTTTCCCAGAGATGTCTTAGCATTTCAGAACCTTACTATGGTGACTTGTACATACCAGAGATTCTATAAACATGCTAATATGTAAACCTCTTATAAGCCTCAAAAAGCTGATATTCAACTACAGCCTTAGTTTCCCAGTCTGAAAGATCAGATTACTTCACAGAAGTCACACAGGCCTGAACTGCCACCAAATAAAACATCCAAAGGAAGCATACTTCTAAGTACACATACAAACTTCCCTAGGGAAAGACACCCAATTAAAACTCAATCTGCAAAACTTCCGAAGTGGAGTACAGGGTCTGTATTTCAACAGCTTACTGGGAAAGGGAAGGGAGTGGGAAGCACAGCTATTTAAAGGCAGTTTATTAGCTTCTTTGTCTTAATTTCAATAAGGGGCCATAAATTACACTTGGGTAGCTGGGATTCCGTGATGAAGTTAAGGGCTGTTGAGCGGCAGAGACTCAAGCAAGAGCCAAACTCGAGAGCTCAGGACTCCTGCTCCTTCGGTGGTGTCTGCGAAGGGGTGGGAGGAGCGGGTGAAGTCGCTAGAATGTGTCCTCCCATCAAGTGCCACTGCGGGTAGCGTCGGGGCGGGTGAGCGGGGAAACGTCTGGGGAGGGACGGGCTGCCCCGGGCTCGAGTGAAGCCTGGGGTGAGGGATGCGTCCGCCGACGGGCGAGGAGGACGCCCGGCGGGAAGAGCACTGCGCAGGGCACCTGGTCGGGGACCCGGGCGGGGTTCCCAGGGAGAGGGGAGTTACAGGGCGGGCAGGTCGAGACCGGCCAGGGTCCCGGAGTTATTCCGGGAAGAGGGGGGCGAAGGGTGGCGGGGGCCCGGCTTTTGCAAGGGCTGCGACGGTTGCGGAGTAGTTACCCGGGTGCCATTTCAGGGCCAGCTTCCGATAGGCCTTCTTGAGCTCCTCCTCGCTGGCGTCGCGCCGCACCCCCAGCGCTTCATAGTGACACTTCATCGCCCGGCCGGGCAGGGGGCTGGGGCCGGGGCCCGGGGCGGGGCCGGGGCCCGGACCGGAGGGGTGGCGGCGGCGCTGCTGGTCCTCTTCGGCAGCCGGAGCCGGGCGCCCGCACCGGGCCAGCCAGCGAGCACGGCGGCGGCGGCAGCGGCGAGGGGTGGCGGAGGCGCGCGGCGGCGACAGGCGGCGCGGGCTGCGGCACGCGGGCGCGCGGAGGGGGCGGTGCCGGCGGCCGCGACTTCGCATGGGCTGGGGGAGGGCTCGGTTCCCGGAAAAGCTGCGCGCGAGAGAGGCGGGGCCTCGGCGGCCGGGAGGAGGGGCCGTGGCGGGATGGAGGCAGGGCCACGGCAGGTGGGAGGCGGAGCCGCGGCGGGATGAAGGCGGGGCCCCGACAGGTGGGAGGCGGGGCCACGGTGGGCGTCATTGTGAGGGGCACAGTAGGCGGTCTGTGTAAGGAGCGCCAACTGGGCAGCCCACCTGAGGCCTGATAGGAGTCTGATGGGAGAAGATTCCGGAAAGCATCTTGTTTTCTGAAGACGATTTCTCAGTGGAGTCCCGTTTTTCCAGATGGCAACTCAGGCTCGAAGTGGTCGAGTGGTTTGCTCAGGCTTCCCCAACTGATCGATGGCAGGATTCAGGTGAACCGAATATAGGATTTAACTCTTCAATTCTCTTAAGTTGCCACTTATCGAGATCTCTAATACTGTTCATCCTGACCATTTTGCAATGAAGTAACAGTAAATATGATGCCTTAAACTGGAACAATTTGAGAGAGCATCAACACATTTTAAAATAACATACCAAATGTTTTACCACCGATACGGATAAAATTGTGCTGACCCATCCATCCAGCACTGTTTAACCCTAACTTTCTGGCTTCTAATCCTACATTTCCTAGATTGTTAAGAATGCAGTTAAGGGATAGTATTTAACCAGTTTTTGTTGATGCAACCGATACACTGTTATTACGGGATGGAAGATCCCTACAACTGTTCCAATTTGATAAGGTGTCAAAATAGTATCCTAATTGTCATTAAAATATATTGGTTTAATACACACACCAGTATATTTCACTGTAATGTTAAATGTTTACATATGTCAGTTGTCAGGTGTAGGTTTTGTCAACCGTGTGTAAAGAGAAGGGTTGGCTCTGTTGCTAACGTCTATTGTACAAGGCGGTCCCTTGCTTCCCTAATATCCTGCCCGCTGCACAATCAAAACAAACCAACCCTAAACCTCATCAAGTTTCTCCACACACTACTGTTCAACCAACCCATACTTGAAATTCACACACCTGCCTCTTTTTCAAAGAAGGAAGATACTATCCCACCTCAGTTTGTAAATTGGCAATGGAGAGGGATTGAGATGTTTGAATACAGGTGAAAATGGAAACTTCCCCATTTGAGAATGGGACTGGGGGTAGGGGATAAAAAGTGACAAAGAATAGAACTTTTTTCTTCCTCCAACTACATCTGGTTTTGCTTACAACCTGTGAGTCACTTGCCTTTTTCCTCCTGAGAGAAGAACTGTTTCTGCCTGTAACATTGTACAGAAATATAAAGACAATTACACTGGATATAAATTTCAAAGGATTAGCTTTATTAAACAAGTTGACTTCTAAATGAACATGAACTTGAAAGATGAATTCTCATTCAAATGAGGTACCCATATAAATGATCGTGAAAGGGAAGTAATTTGGGACAGGAAAATACGTAGAAACCGATAATCAAAACTTAAAGAAATTCCACTAAAACTCTACAACACACACCTCAGAAAATGTTAAAAGTTTGGGTCTTCACTCAACTTGTTGAGCCAGTTTATTTTATAACCTGTAATTAGCTTCTTGGGATGTGGGTGTTTAGATACAAATCCTGAATATAGCTTTTCATCCCAGGCTATATTCAATTGCTTAATAAATAAGCTTTTTCTCCCCCTGCACTTAACCAGAATTGGCCTTCATTACACACACCCAAGTATTTAAAGTGAATCTCTGGGGGCGCCTGGGTGGCTCAGTCGTTAAGCGTCTGCCTTGGGCTCAGGTCATGATCCCAGGGTCCTGGGATGGAGCCCCACGTCGTCGGGCTCCCTGCTCAGCGGGAAGCCTGCTTCTCCCTCTCCCACTCCCCCTTGTGTTTCCTCTCGCTCTCTCTCCGTCAAATAAATAAAATCTTTAAAAAAAAAAAAGTGAATCTCTGAACTGAATTACCTGCTTAATATAGATTTCAAGATAAGTAGCCTGATTTAGACTATTTCAAAATCATATGGCCTAATTGTACAAGACCTTTCTTTGAAAAAAATCAAAAAATGAAATATGAAAATTGATTGTTCTGCCTACAGATTCAAAATAAAGAACAAAATTAAAATACAAGTGAGGAACTAGGAAAGATGTCTAGAATGACCCTGCCATAGAAGACCTCTTACAAATTTGTAAAAGATGACTACCACACAAAAACAAGATTAGTCACAAAGGAAAAACCATTACCTACCCAAAAAGGGGTATTCTTTTTTTAACTTACCAAACTGACAAAAAATTATTTCAGTGTTGTCAAGGGTACAAGTAAATAAATGAACACTGACCTCTAGGGAAGTACAGTATTTAGGGGAACAATCAAAATTTCTTAATGTTCACATCTTTTGACTGAATTCCACTTATAGGAAACCACAAGGGTGGTATAAATTTGTCAAGAAATGTTTGCCATAAGCACCCATACCTGAAATACTATCCCATAATAAGGGACAGATTGTACAGCTATAGTACAGAGTGGAATACTATGCAATTATTAGTCATGTTGTATAATAAAGACATGGGGAAGTGATTAGTATGAAATAAAATAAGTGGGTCACAAAACACCAGATGCATGATCCAATCCTATATGTGCATATGTAACCATCTCTCTCTTAAGCAGCCACCTACCAGTCCACGGCCACTAGCACCCAGAATCTTGTATTTCCTTCCTACTAACTGACCTCCAGGAGGGTAAGCCCCATGCTCTTCACCTCAGTTCTTTCATCAGGGGAAAAACTCAAATGTTCCAGTGCCCTCCAACTACTATTCCATATTTCTTCCTTTTACTTTTAAATTATCAAGTAATTTATACCCACTGCTTCTAAATTAAACTTGTAATCTACAAATACTTTCAACACATGTATTAAGTCATTTGATTCTCAAAACCTATTATTGTACTTCTTTTTAAAAAAAGAGAGCGAGAGCACACGCCCACAAGGGGGCTGGGCAGAGACAGAAGCAGACTCCCCACTGAGCAGGGAGCCCAATGATGCAGGCCTAGATGCAGGACCCTGGGACCATGACCTGAGCTGAAGGCAGACACACCGAGCTACTCGGGCGCCCTACTGTACTTTCTTGAGGTGAGAAAACAAGATCAAGGATTGGCTTTTCCAAGGCCTCATTCATTGGTGACTCGGGGACTCCAACCTCAGTAAGATGCTTTTTTTTTCTACCAGTCTATCTGCACTTTACCATCTGAAACTAAGCTCTCAAAGTGCCTAATTCATTGTCTTACAAGTAATAATGACCCAATAAAAGTGCTTGAATTTCAGCTTTCCTAAACCCAAAATTTTAATCCAAGAAAACAGGCCTAAACCTGAAGTGTGCTCAACTTTTAGTAACACCAAACAAGCTTTGAAAAAAAAAAAAAACAGAAATTAACTGATTAGTTCTAAATATCTCTGACGGTGATATTTAGACAAACATACACACCACAGTAGCCACAAATTTTAATTTGATTTTTGTCTTAAATGCCACACTAATGAGATATAACATAGTCCTGGATAATAAAAAGTATTTACACACTGAATACAAAATAAATATAAAATTACTGAAAAGTTAGTTATCCATTGATTCATTTTGCATTCCCACTGTGCCTCTTCTGTTTCATTTTTCTTTGCCTTTTGTAAATCCTTTTCTTTCTTGCTTTCAAATCAACTTTCGGCTCTGGTTTTACCCACTGTATTTCTATCGGCTTTTCCTCAGCTGGTATAACAAAAACATCTGCAGTGGGATCATGTGGAAGAATAGTCTTTGGTTCTTTCTTTTTCATTTTCTGTGCATCCTTCACTTGTTGTTTCTCTTTGTATTTTGCAGCTGTGATGGATCTTATGATACGCCGATGCTAAAAACAAAAAAATATCAGATGCTTTCAAAATAAAAACATACTACATATGGTGAGGACATTCACTCATGAGTCCTATTTTCCCTTCACTTTTGTCATTAAAAAAAAAGTAGTTATTTGCAAGACTGTATGCAGCAAAAAAACAAATTTAGTTTCATAGTTAACAGAAATTGCTTGACAGAATCATTTTGGCCAGAGAGTTCTGGGCATCCAGGGACCACTGAACAACAAAAATAGCTTACCATGTTTGGAGACTGGTAGTGAGGATTTTCATATAAAGTTGGTCCTCCAAAACTTCCCTGGAAAATCTTTATGAGATTTAAGACAAAGCGAGGTCCTACTTCTACAAGAGCAGCATCTTCTTCTATGATCTTCAATAAAAGGAAACATTTCATTTTGGTTTGGATATATTATTCCTCAAAGTTACACTGGCTATAACCTCATTACAAATATGCCTAAAACAAGTGAGAACCAATTAAATTAAGGTAGAATGTATTTTCTGAAATATATTGCTAGTTATGGGTAATTGTCATGGGAAAATATTAACTTTTTTTCAGGGTATTCTTTCAAAATTGAGTAATTTCAATTTGGTCCTTACCTTGCTTCTCACTGGGCACATATTCTTGAAAAACTGTGGTTAAATCAATTTTAAAAACTGCTACCACTGTAACAGAATGTATTAAAGCACCCTGTGGAGAACGCTTTTAAAATTTAAGTCAATACCTAAACTGAATTTAGACATCTAATTCAAATTAGATTAAAAGGTATATAAAAGGATACATGGCCAAATTTATTTTTGAATGGCTCCTGATTGTGGAATTAAGAGGCAACTTCTGAACTACAAATACTAACACAACACTGTTGGTTCAGGTATGTCTGCCCTCAGAGGCTAAGGGGCTATGTTTAACTCACACTGCAAGGTACCCAACAACCCTTGCAGGAAAGAGCCCAGATTACTTCAAATGCTGTTCTTTCCATCTCTCTACCTTTCTGACTCCTTATCCTGCCAAACTCCTGCTTCAAGATTTCCAGAATCACCTCTCCTCCTAAATGAGTCACTGTATGACTCATCTCACAGTTCTCATTGAATGCACTCTACAGGGATCATGTTTTTCTAAGGCTTAACGACCTCCACCCCCAGATTCCAGCCTCTTTAGAGAGAAACTTGTATCTAACTGAATATATAGTTGCATGTTAGCAAACCCTTACACCACACCAACTGATAGCCGTGGAAAAAAGTAAGGAGAGAAGTAGGTAAAGTATGAGACAGTAGTTAACTGCTACAAGTCTGTGGGGGCAAAAAGCTATTTAAAACAAAAGGACTTATTACTTGCATCTTTTACAAATGCTATATGCTATATATCCTACTTCATTTCAAAGTGTAATTAAAAATTAATTAAAGCTAACCTGAAAGTTCCGAAACCATATCCTATTATCCAAAATGGTGAAAGTAAACACATGGTCCACAAATGGTTGGCTTTTGGGATGATATCGTGGTGTACTAAAGATCTAGTTTAAAAAAAAAAAATGTTAATTTCTTATTCTAGCGCATATCATGTATGTTTTAGATAGCTAAATTAACAAAAGTCTAAAGGAGACACTCATTTATATTACCAAAAATACTTTCTAGAAAAGATATTTACCTGAATTAAGAGTTCTTTTAACAAAGCATAATGTGGTAATTCATCAAAAGCCTATAAAAATAAAGTGAACATAACATTTACAACAGCAGTGTTTTGTTTAAAATTGTGGGTTTTTTGAAATTTTAACTAAACTGAATTACACAACTACATCCACTAAAAAACAACCATGCAGAGTAAGAAAATTAGACCTCATACACTAAATGAGAAACTTACAGGGTCAAAAGACAAAAGGGGCCGAGAACCTTTCAAACAGTTTCCAGTCATCTTTAGTTCAGCTAGGGTATGGACTAGAAAAAATATAACAAAAGTAGTCATAACTTTGGCACAATTATTTTGTCTTAAAAAAATCTTAAACTGAGTCAACTTACTGTTCTGAACGAGGAATTTAGCAGATGGCCCATGAGGTGAATTTGAAAGCCTGAAAAATATGAATTTTCCAACTAATTAGAATTTAGAATGTAGTAAATTCTTACTACCTCACAGTTTAAAAGACACCATACCGTGTGTCTGTAACATCCACATATTTAATTTTCTCTAAAGGTTTCAACTTTTGTGAAATCAAATGAATTTGCTTCATTCCCCGGCCCCGTCTTTTTACATAAAAGACTGAAAGAAGTCTATAACCTAAGAGATATAAATAATAAGTCCATTTACAAGAACAGTTCCACCTAAATCCTATTTAATACATTCTTACCACATATAGAGATCCTGTTTTTTCTTAGCTTCAAAATAGATACATTTATTGCAGTTTTTCATTTCACAAACCTAAACAGAGCAAAGTATAGAAAAATGAAGTAGATAATAAAAATGAGAACCAAAGCAAGCAATATCTAGATTCCTCCAAAAATAGTTAAGCAGGTTAATAGGCTACCAAGGTCTAAATCTAGGTAAATTCACAAAAAGAAACATTTAAACTTCCCCTTAGGTATTCTAAAGTAAACAAGATACTCTGGCCTCTGTTCTGCTTACTGGGAACCTCTATCTTCCTAACATACTCCCACGTTCAACCTACAAAAAGTAAAAGATACCCGAGGGATAAAGCACACTACAATTAGCCTCATCAATCTTAGGAAAATGCAGTCCTTCAAGAACCAACTACATCCATTATAATGGTTATTTTTATTTTTAACTCGTTAGCGTTTTGATTTTAAGCTCAGGAAATTTAAGATTTTTCTTCATCTGTACTACCATTTCTGTGATTTCCATTTTGTGAAATCACTAAGGGACTGGTGAAAGGCAGAAGTATAGAAAACTACTTCAACATCTTGAAGGTTTATATTACTATAATATTCATAAACTATCTAATATAGTACTCATCAACTCTCAACTACTTGAGACTTTAAACCTAACAACTTAAAAAAACTCAGGTCCAATGCTTTTGTTTCCTATTGGTCTTAGAACAAACAACAATACTTAACAACACTAAGATGGTTGTTTTCTAGTCAAGCCTCAACTACTGGAAACTCCTAACTGGTTTTTTTCTTTCACCTATCTTCACTTGAAATTCTACTTGTTCATGGACTGAATCCATCAAAATGTAAGCCCCACTGGATGACAGGGCAGCTGTTCTGTTAAACAGTTTCCACAGCACTAGAATAAAGCCATTTATAACAGAGGTTCAAAAATCCATGCTAAATGAATAAAAGAAGCCTTTCTAATAGCGAAAGAAAATGAACTTAAAACACGATTCCTCTTTTTTTAAAAAGTTGGCTTTAAAATATAAGTTCAGTATCTTCAACGATACTTTGAAAATTAACCTACTACTAATCTGTAGTATCTTAAGAGCAATTACCATGTGTATCACCTTTAATACTGGCAAAATACTTTCTAAGATGTGTGGTTTTAAAAATATTTAATGGACTTTTTATTTATTTTGTACATGTTGATAGTTTTTTAATAAGTACCCATTATAAATTTAGCACTGTATTGTACATAATGAGAAAAGGAGATAATCCTTGTCTTCCAGAAATTTCAATATGTTTGGTAAGATAAGACAAATATAAGAATGATCAAAAAGTAATATATACTGAATCACAGAACTGTGAGAACAGACAGTATATAAAAATTTATAAGGCAGGTTACTGAAGTTAAGAAAATTTGTCTCAGTTACCTTTTACAATTTAAAAGTCACTGACTAATTGACTTACTGTTTAAATGAACTATCTTTAATGTTCCAAAATATTTTATTTTACTTGAATTACTATCTAAAATTACCTCATTAATGACAAATAACTTGTCCTTACGATCCATTTTTGTATCTATAAAAAGAAAAAAAAGAAAGTAAAAGATTTCAAAGCTACTTCAAACAAATCACACGTGCTTTCTAAAAAAGTATTTTAAGTGTTTTTACAATCTTCAGTTTAAAAGAGATTTTATTTTCAAATTAGACCTAAAAACACATGACCTCTTTAAAAATCTTGTTCATTTTTTCTAAAAATGACTGATTAGAAAACAGTCCTCGAGAATCATAAATTATGATCTAAGTAGTGTTTCTAGTCAACTTTACATATTCCACAAGTCCCTTTCAAACATGGAAACAGTCTCACAAACTGAACTATGTTCTAGGATTGCAGTTTAAGGAACTCACCGAAGAAACTAAAATTTGAACCAAAGAAAGTTTCTTTGAATTCTGAATCATAGTTGTCAAGGAAATGGATTGAAAAAAATTGTTTCAGATTATCACAGAAAAAAAAATTAGGTCTCTTATTAGTTTCAGAGATATAAAGATACTAACAGCGGACCCCAGTTTGAGAAACAGTGGTCTAAGGAACAAAGTTATTACCTAGAATTAAAGCCAAAAGCATCTTCCAACACAGGCACAAAAACAGCTGTATGATGGTACTGCCACAGTTCTAAACTTAAAACTTCACTTGCCTGCAAGACACACCATTGCTAAAAAGAGTATCTTGGCATTTAGAAGTAGGCTGAGCCCCAAATTAAAGGTGCTTCAAATCCCACTCTGGTCCATTAACTTTCTAATAAGAATAGGTTTTTTTTGTTTGCAAAAAAAACAAAGATAGTAGGGCACCTAGGTAGCTCAGTGGGGTTAAGTGTCTGACTCTCAATCTCAGCTCAGGTTTTGATCTTGGGGCAGTGAGTTCAAGCCCTATGTTGGACTCCACGCTGGGTGTGGAGCCAACTTAAAAAAAAAAAAATGCAGATAGCAATACATGGCAGTCCTCAATTATTTAGAAGGACAAACCAGCTCGTGACCTCTGAGAGCATTACAATGAAGGCATTCCTGGACCTTCAAGAAATGTTTTGATAACAGGATATCTAACAAAGTGAAGAGAATATTTAATGAATTTTGTAAAGAATTTCTAACAAAATATTAATTGGAAAAATCTTGTCACTGTTCTGAGGCAAAAGAGTTCTTTACCTGGTAAGGCTGAACAAATGACAAGGTTAAACGACTTAAAGTGAGAATATACAGATAAGTTTATAAATAAGAACTTTTAAAGTATATGATATAAAGGCACCTGCTTTAGAATGAGGCATCAACATTCTCAAGTCTTGCATTAAATGTCTTGTTCTGAAATTTATTCCTCTGGAAGAAAAGATGAGAATCCGTTCTTTATTCTTCCACTTGCCCTAAAGAAAAAGAAAATGTTAAGATTTTTAAATCTCATACTGAACGTAACTTGTTTTTTTTTTTTTAAAGATAGTTTTAAAAGTATCTCTTTTTTAACTACTCCACCAACCTCTAATGTATTGAAACTACATCTTTAATTCTGCCTCTCTCCCATGTATGTAATTCAGGGAATTGAGATGTTTCACTATACATAGAATCTTTCCACCCTTGAATTCAGAACTAACTCCTCAGTCAATATTCCTTTCACAAGAACACTTTAATATTAATTTAATATTTACTAGGTTCCTACCAGGAGTCAGGCACTGTTCTTATGTGGGAAGATAGTCAACAAGCAAGCAAATCAATAAAGACATGAAGGCAAGAACAGCATGAAACCCTTATTTAGATGCTTTGCCATTTCTATTCTGTATGACAGATAACCATAACCATATCTGTCATATAGGATAGAAATGGCAAAGCATCATGGCATCATGTGATGATGCAAAAAAGGGAACTTAAAAAGTCCCCATTTTATCTTAATAGACAAAATTTAGATCCCCTATCCAAAAAAGCAAGCTAAGATAGCCCTTAGTTCTAATAAAATAACACAGCCAATGGAAAAGTTAACTTCTTGTATGTAAGGTAAGTAGAGACACAATAATATTCATAAAAAGCTTCCACGTAGCAGGCCAAACAATCCTGACAATCTCTCAGTAGTATTCACTGACCATGGCTGGCTCCCAGAAATGCTTTCCTTCGCTTTCTCCATTTTTGGTTTTTCTTCTTCCATCTCTCCAATTCCTCCTCCTGACTCCAAAGTGTCTTTCCTAGCCCTCTTTTGGTTTCTGTTCTCTCCAGGACAGAGTTCTCATAATCTTTCCATAGCTTCAGTTGTCAAATCTATAGAAAGGAAGGAACTCTCTCCACTCCTAATAAACCAAGTATTTGACTTAATACCTCAAATTCAACTCTAGAAAACTAAACCTTAAATAAAGTTTCCTGTTAAATGATGCAACCATCATTTCCATCCCCCAGGCTTTGAATCATCTATTTGCCCTATTCTCCTATATCATAAGCACTACTAAATGCTGTCAATTTCCCTTTCAAAACAAGAAGATAGCAAGAGGGGAAGAATGAAGGGGGGGAAATTGGAGGGGGAGATGAACCATGAGAGACGATGGACTCTGAAAAACAAACTGAGGGTTCTAGAGGGGAGGGGCGTGGGAGGATGGGTTAGCCTGGTGATGGGCACTAAAGAGGGCACGTTCTGCATGGAGCGCACTGGGTGTTACACGCAAACAATGAATCATGGAACACTACATCAAAAACTAATGATGTAATGTATGGTGATTAACATAATAATACATAAATAAATACAGTACAGTAAAAAAAAAACAAAACACCCAACTCTTAATGTCTCTTAATCCCTTCCCATTCCAAGTACCCACGTTCAGATCCTTATCATCTCAAATCTCCTAAATGGCTAGCCTTCCCAGACAGGGGTTTCTCTAATAGGTTTGGCCGACTAGCACCAGCTTAGTCTTTTTAAAGCACTGTTTCAATCACATCCTTAACCTCCCAGGATTTTCTAAACAAACTCCCAATACAACATAGCTTTAACGCTGGATTCTAAAATACATTTCTATTTTTACCTCACTATTGCCCTAAATCAACCCTACCTTTTAGCTAATCTGGCTCCATTTTCATTTCTCCTCCACATCAATGCCTCTGATCATTTTTTCTTCTTTGCCCTTGTATTGTTCCCTTGCATTTTTGACTACTGAGATTGTGCCCTTACTTTGAGATCCAGCTCAAGGGCTGATCCCTTACCTGACTGTCCTAGGGTAAAAGTAACCTCTACGACTCCTGTACTTCCACAGAATTTCTCATAATACGACTCAGGTCATAGATACTATCATATTTCCTTCCAGATTAAGGGACGAGTGGGAGCACTAACATTTATTGAAAATCCTCTAGACGTCCAGCTTATTCTTCATAAAAAGTAAATCACATTTTCTTCTTCTTAATTTGCAGATGACAAAAGAGCTGAAAATGTGGACATTAATTATCTATAGGGCTAGAATTTAAACTCATCTTTCATCCCTCAGAGCTAACTCCTTTCCTAGTGCTTGCCACCATAGATGGTCATTTATCACCTACTACCTGCTAAAGTACTATGCTAAGGGCCAGGAAAGTAGAAATAGAATCAAAACAGAAATAAATCAAAGACCATCTTTGTCTCCAAAGTATTCGACCTAGCTTACCGAATGGAAGTTAAGCCCAACAACTTGTGTTCACCTTCTCTTGAATACAAACCATGAACTTACATGAGTTAAGTTTCCTTCTAAACTCCCAACACTTCAGAAAGAAAGTCACATTCTAGTTTAGCAATCCCAAAGCCAAAGGAAACCTAACTTCCTACAGTACCTGACCTATATATAACAAGTCTGAATACAAGAAGAGTTCATTCTATCTAGTCTAGCTTTCATCATCCCTTAAGAGTTAAACACCTGATCAGACAGGTCAAAGTCACTGTCCCAAGGGCAGCAACTTTTTAAAGAACTGCCTAACAAGCTTCAGGATCCCTGACTGAGAGGAGCTATGGCGGAATAGGGGGACTAGCAACCTCTGGAAGATTTATACTCAATAGCGAGAAATAACTTTAAGGAAAAGTAATAACACCCCCAAGGGCGGGAAATGCAGTAATTAGAAGACACAACACTGGGACTGAGTACCCCAAAGGTTGCTTCCCTGTGAACCGTTCCGAAGCCCGCCCGCTTCCTCGGCCGCCGCCTCCAGGAGACGGCCACGTGCATGAGAGCTAGCTGTAAGCGCGGCGTCTGACCGGGAGGAGAGGCTGAGACCGAGCTCCGGTAACAGACAGGCAACTTCGAAATTAGCAAAGCTTTCATCAGGGAGGTGGCCCCAGGGAAGGCGTGTAGAGTCGCAGGTGTAACCTGGATGAAAGCCCTCTCTACCTTGCAAACGGGGCCTGGGATACGGTCTCTCTCTTCTTCCTCCGCCTCTTCTGCCATGTCGCGCAGCTTAGCTGGCTGCTTGGCATCTTTCTCGTTCCTTTTTGGTTTTTTCGCCTGCACGTCCAAGCCTCCACGCCGCTTCCTCTTGGCCGCCGCCATCTTGACTGACCGCCTTCGCTCTCGGCTTTCCTTCCGGCTCCGCCGCTCGCTCTCCTTTCCGATCTCTATGGTACCGAGCACTCGGCTCTGCAGTCCCCCGGCTCGATGGTACCTTTTTCCGGTTTCTGGTGACTCACGCGCGGCTCTCTAGGCCGCCTCTATCTCTGCGGTGACGGTGGCCGAGGTGGCTGGCTGGCTGGTCTGAAAAGAGCGGCGGGAGCGGCTGCATTTCCTCCCCAGTTACCCGGGAGGCGCCGCCCGGCTTCTTCGGTGACCTGGCTGCGAAGGGCTCTCTGGCGTCGGATCCCGCGGGAAAGGTAAGGTTTCCGCGCCCCGGATCCTAGGGCCGGTAAATAGATGCCGCCTCTCGACGGTTGGCGAATGGGGTTGTGTGGGACTCGAGGATCTTCCGAGGAATGGGGGCCCGCCCTCCATCGCCTATTCTGTTAGGGTTAAGGTTGGGGGCGCCGGACAGCGCAAACCCGACTCTGCGGGGACAAGTAGTTCCAGTTTGGGGGTGCTGGCCCTCCGTGGAACTACCGTGTTAGTTGCCTGTTTTCATTGTTCACAACTTTTCCTGTGTTACTAGCCTGTTACTATAGACGAGGAAATCGTAGCTTAGAGTGAAGAGTAATTTCCCCGCAAAGTTACATAGCGTTGAAGTGGCAGAAATGGGGTGCAACCCCTGTCCGGTGGAGTTCGATGCCCAGGCGTCTTTCACTCGCCTCAGCGCAGGTTGACATCGCGGGCCTTGCCAGCATTGATCCGGAGTTTTATTGTCGAATCTCATCAGGTGTTTCGTGATCCTCGGCAGCCAGTGTTGGCACCGGGAGCATCCCTTGGGACCAGATGTGCAGTGGACGATGCCCCTCCTAACCCCACAGATCCAAGACGAGAATGACTACAGCTTAGTGGCCAGCCTTGACAACGTTAGGAATCTCTCCACTATCTTGAAGGCTATTCATTTCCGAGAACACGCTACGTGTTTCGCTACTAAAAATGGAATCAAGGTTACAGTGGAAAATGCAAAGTGTGTGCAAGCAAATGCTTTCATTCAGGTATGGAAATAGGCGTCTTTTAAGTGATTTGCCAACAGTCCCGCAGTTGGCAAGTGGCTGAGTTGGGATGAGAACCCAAACATTGTTTCCCCAGAGTATATGCTCTTGGCCAATACTTCTCTTTTCCCTTTTATTGGTTATAATCTGTCATTACAAAGTAATATATGTATGGTTCAGATAGGATTTCAGACTTAATCCAACTTTTTTTTAAAGATTATTTATTTGACAGAGCACAAGCAGGGGGAACGGCAGGCAGAGGGAGGAGGAGCGGGCTCCCTGCTGAGCAGGGAGCCCGATGCCATGGGGGGCTCAATCCCAGGACCCTGGGATCATGACCTGAGCCGAAGGCAGACGCTTATCCAACAGCCACCCAGGCGCCCCTAATCCAACATTTTTTTGAACACCAGAGTGCACAGTGTGACTTCAGGTATAGAGGGATCGATAAGACATGGTTCCTGTCCTCAAAAGAAATTGAAAACTAATATCACTCATGCATTATCAAATTGTTTGGCCATTTTCCAAATGACTTAGCCCTGCAGATGGGCAAAAAATGAACAAGGGAAAGTCATGTGGGCGATAGTTTAGATCAAGAAGCTAGATGAAAGACCTTTCATAAAGTTTTGCATGGTACTGAAATCAGTTAGACCTTTAAATACTGAGTAGTAGTATTCTAATGGTAATAGTTGAAAAAGCTTAAGATGTTTTGATTGGTAATCAGAAATTATTTTCATGGGGTTAGCACAATATTGTTATTTTTAAAACATATAAAGTGAAATCTAGAACCTTGTATGTGAGTTTTCATTAATATATGTATACATTTTCATGTTTACTTTTTTTCACAGGCTGGAATATTTCAAGAGTTTATAGTTCAGGAAGAGTCTGTTACTTTTCGAATAAATTTAACTATCCTTTTAGACTGTTTATCTATTTTTGGATCAAGTCCTATGCCAGGTGAGCCATTTTATTATTATTGACACAAAAGCATTATACAGATGGTCAGAAAAATACAGGAAAAGTTATTAGAAGTAAGAAACGTATCTTGGAAATTGCAAATTCATTTTTCACTGGTCACAATCATGAATTCTAACTTTTCACATTAATAGAAAGTGTACTGTGGTTCTTTCCGTATTTGCTAAAGTATTTATATTAATCATTTTTTAATTTACAGAGTTTTGGGGATTTTAAATTTGAACTGGCCAAGAGAAGACTTTGAATATGTGTTAACTTCAACATTGCAAAATATGTATCAAATGCTTCCTTTCCCTAACCTGTTCAGAATTACAGTTTAGTGGCCAAGAAAAACAGAAACCAATTCTCCTCACACCTAGTTTACTGTGTTCAAAATGTGCTTGCTTTTATTTCTTTAAGTCCTGTTTATAAATTGTCTATTTCCTGAAATGTTTAATTTTAAAATACATGTTTTATTTTTTTAGGAATAGTGAATTCAGTTGCTATGGATATAAAACTACAAGGAATCCCCTGAAGAATGATTTTATTTCACAGGAATCTAGAGATTAGCTAGGGAAAGTTCAGTTGTGGTTCTTTAGAAAATATATTTTAATTTTGTACTGACAATTCCATTATTATACATTTTTCTAATGCAGCATTCCCTAGCTGGTTTTTCATAAAAGCATCTGCCTTCCCCCCTTCCTCACTGTGGCTCTCCATCCAATAAGAGAAAGCAGATAGAATGTCCAGTCATATTCCTCCTCCTCTCTAGTGGTTTGTAGTGTTAAAACCCACACCACCATTAACCACCCTCTCTTTTCTCCCAATTTGATCTTAAAGTTTGAGGAAATGTAAATAATATCTCCCAATGGGAAAGGTTGGAAGGATCCTTATCACAGCGAATATACTGACATTATCATACAGACAGTATCAAAGCAGTCCACTGTTGCACACACTGCACCTTTGAGAAAGGGCGTAGCTCATTCTGCAGTAATTATTACTTGCAGCATTAGTCCACGTAGATTCTCCATCCTGAAAATTGTAGATATATAAAATCAGCTATTTCTGAGGTGTTTTTGGCAGGCTGGAAAATGATTTCAAAAAGTTAAATTTTGGTCTCATTGCCAGTTTTATTAGTTACTGTTTGAATTGTCTACGTGTAACTGTCATCAGAGAAAATATCCCTTTTTATAAAGAGATGCATACATATGTGTTAGAAATTGGGCAGAATAAAATAGTCTTCAGGAATTTAAGTATCATTTAAGGAGAGGCGGAACCTGCATTATAGAGCTAAGCCCAACATGTGATTTATTTCCATTGCAGGGACTTTAACTGCCCTTCGGATGTGTTACCAAGGTTATGGTTACCCTTTGATGCTATTTCTGGAAGAAGGAGGAGTGGTGACAGTCTGTAAAATCAATACTCAGGAGCCAGAGGAGACTCTGGATTTTGATTTCTGCAGCACCAACGTTATCAATAAAATTATTCTGCAGTCAGAGGGGCTCCGTGAAGCATTTTCCGAATTGGATATGACGAGTGAGGTGCTACAGATCACCATGTCTCCCGACAAGCCTTATTTCAGGTACTTGAACTCAGGGCAATTATAATTAATACTGTAATCTACTCTATCTCCCTGCTTACCCATTTGCTTAGGATGCGGAACTTTTATTATCCAGGTTCCTAGAATTTTCAGATCTTTAGAGAGCCTTTACTCTTATTTCATACTTTTATAGATTGGGAAACGTATGGTCCAGGAAGATGAACTCAGTATTTAAAGCTTCATAGTTAGGTAATGTTGGTTTGTAGGTGAATAGCCCTGTTTACTTTATAAACTGGTGGTCTTTTCATTGTACTACTTACTGGTATAGCTCAAGTTACATCACAAGGAAAATTGGGGCTTAAACTTTTGGCAAAGGTGTTTATATCGTATGGTATCTCTTCTTTCCTTGCAAGTTAGTATAGGATGCAAAAGGAAACAGACGTTTTCTATACATCGTTCATTCACAAAGTATCTATTAGTCACCTACTGTGTGCATATCTACCTTTTTAAGCACTTTGGAAAGGAATGGGTTAAAGTCAAGGTGAAGAGAAAAATATGTGAAACAGCCTCAAAGGAACAGAATTGCGTGCCACTAAGTACCAAAATAATTCAGAGACGCTTAGAGAACAGCACCTGAGTACTTAGGGGGGTTGATCGAGGCAAGCTTCCTAAGGGAGGGCAATTTTCAGCAGGAATACAATGTCAAAAACTCTCAAGCTGCTCCTGACGTTTTGAACCAACAAATTATAAAATTTTCAGGATTAGAGTCAATTTGGAGAGAGGATTTAAATATATCAGAATATTAAGTAAAGGAGCTAAAAATACATAAGAAATGAGAGGTATGTTGTTCTTTTTTACATCTACCCTAGAAGAACTGCAGGCCCTTATCATGACATGGAGCAGTTAAAAATTTGGCTCAAGATTAGTTAAAATATTAGCCAAAATGGAAATTCTACCTAAGTATTGATAAGAATTAAAATCTGGGCACTTAAACAGTGTATTTCAGAAGATCCCCACCTAAGTGATGTCTTTCAGCATAGGTAACTAGATAGATTATGGTATCTTTCATCTCCAGTATGGGAAATGATTTGGTGGTGGGGAACTAGGAGTTGAAATTTTTTTCCAGATGTTTTAAATTTGAGGTGCCTCTGACACTAGGGAGTAGTTGGACATACGGAGTTCAGGACATCAGTCTAGAATGGAAATTTAGATTTTGGAGTCGTCATAATGGCTGGGTATGGACGAGATGGCTCAGAGAGAAAGAGCTTACGTTAGAGGAGAGAAAAGGTGGAACCTGAGGAAGACCAGCACCTAGGTCTTCTATCACTCTGCTCACACAGTAGTTACCAATGTGGTAACCCCATAGCAAATGATCCATAAATTCTTGCAGATAAAACAAACATAAAAACATTTACAAATTGCTGAACACACAAACTGCTGACACTGCCAAGCAAGGAAAACCATGAAACCGCCTAAAGAGCAGTCTAAGATACAGAATAGCCAGAATTCCGGGGTGTGGCGGTGAGGATGGGGCTCAGGACCCCAGGATTGCTGATGAGTTTGATCAGGGTCTTCCATCATTCCTCAAACTCTCCTTTTATATGATTTCTGATTTAAGGATGAGGAAAGGTGAGTATCAGAGTAGAATTAAGGTAATGAAATTGAGGCAAACACCCCTGGATTTTGATGGATTCATGATGGATTTTTTATTAGTTTATTAGTTGCTAGATCTTCTGAACTCCCACAGCATCCTGCGGGAATCTTTGTTACTGTAATTGGTATAGTGTATTGTCAGCATTTGTTTATATATGTGTTTCATTCACCAGAATGAGCTTCTTAAGGAAGTGTCTTCTTTACTGAGATCCTAATGTGACTTATTGTTGGACCAGTGAATAAATGAATTGCTCATTTTTTTACTGTAGGTTATCTACTTTTGGGAATGCGGGAAGCTCCCACCTTGATTATCCCAAAGATTCTGATTTGATGGAATCATTTCATTGTAACCAGACCCAGGTGAACAGGTCAGTTCTTAAAATATTGGTGATGAAGGTGAGGTCGAATATCACATATCTATTAAATAAATGTAAAACTTTCGATCTGTTGCTAAAGGTATAACATCCTAAAGATATAAATAGTGGGGTGCTGGGTGTACTTGGGGATTTGGGGTTGTGATAGTGGATGAAATTTTATAAATGAAAAATATTAGCATATTGGACAAGTATTTGATTTTATCCTTATATTTGTTACTTGGTAGTTTCTGACTAATTTTTGTCCTTTACTTGGAGTTATGAGCACTGCTTCAAATGTGTCCAAATAACAACTGCTTCTTATTTACTTCTCTACAGATACAAGATTTCCTTACTGAAACCCTCTACAAAGGCCTTAGTCCTGTCTTGTAAGGTATCTATTCGAACAGATAACCGAGGATTCCTCTCATTACAGTATATGATTAGAAATGAAGATGGACAGATATGTTTTGTGGAATATTACTGCTGCCCTGACGAGGAAGTTCCTGAATCAGAGTCTTAAGTAGGGCCTTCCCTGTGATTTCTACCTGAACATTCATGATAGGTCACAGCCTCATTCTGGGTATAGTATCTCCAGGAGACTGGGTTTTCTAAAGGGAAGAAGCATGGAGGAGACGCGAACAAGGTCCATGTACCCTAATAGTTGCTGTATATTTTGTAAGTAAATGTTTTCATATAGTCATGGATTACCCACTACTGGACTATCCTTCGATTCTGTTTTTTGAACTCATCATTATGAGCCAAGATGAATAATCTATTTAAGTCAGACATTTCAAGGGCCTAAAAATTTAAAGTTTGATGAATCCATACCTGAAATGTTCTTTTATTTACTATTAGAAAGAGCAGCTGCATATGGGCGTTGCTTATTAGTTTGAATTCCGAAGAATATATCTTAACAGTGGTTCTCCAAGTGTGGCATCTAGACCAACAGCATCACCATTACCTGGAAACTTGTCAGAAACTCTGGAGGTGGGCCAGTAATCTGTAGCTTAAGAAAACTTTCCCCCAGGAAATTCTGATGCATGCTAATGTTGGAGAACCACTGTTTTGAAGGATACTTTTTTGTTTTAATAGCACTTAATTGCACTGAAGTGATTGCTTTTATATGTGATTTCTTCCCAAATGTTCTGAAGTTTGGGCTTTGCCAAACAAGTCTGAGTAATTACATGATTTATTTTTAAAGTATACATTTTAAAGAAATCTATGAACAAGGTATATAAAAGAGTCTTCAGAGCTGAGTTACAGGATTTCTTCTTGTTCTCTGCAACTGTTCAGTGCAGTTAAGTACTGTAGTAAGTACTTATTAGATACCTTCTGTTTGCCTATAAGAGTTTCTCATCCAAACCAAGATGTAGAAAACCAATTATTAAGTGATTTTGCACTTTCTTGGGTAGTTTTCCATCAATTTTTATGGCATGTAGATATTTAATAAAATGAAATACTAAAATTATCTGGCTTGTTTTCTAGTAGAAAAAAATATGTAACTAAAATAAAGGTCCTGTACCGTGTGATACAGCTCAGAGTTGGGCAGGCGCCATTGGCCTTTGTGGGTGGGACAGTTCTTCATGGGGAAAAAAACTCATCCCATTGCAGGATTCATTTAGCCTCCTTGGCTCCTACCCACTGACGCCAATGCTTGTGACCTGTGACCCCCACCCCCCGCTACTCATGGCTAAAAACCATTGAATAGTATTCATCAAAAACATTCATCAAAGGGGTATATTTGGAATGCCTTACCTTAAAATAGGCCACATGGCATGAGAGGAGATTGGTTTGGAGAGTAGTTCAGCAAAGCACTTCAGGGAAACACTCCCCCAGAGCAGCTGTGGGCTCTGCTCACCGGGTCTTGGACAATTCTGGGTATCTAGCTCAGAGTGACTCCCTGATAACTACTGAGACCCCCAAGTCATCTCAGGATGCCGGCTGGCACAAAAAGAGTTAGAGTTTTGTAAAGTATAGTGTATGTTCAAGAAGGAAATGAATGAATCTACTAAATGTTGTGTAAACTTTTTTTTAGATAAACATCAAAAACAACAAATATAAAACATAATTATGAAAACATTTAATCAGTCAATTTCAAGGACTATAATTTTCCTTTAAAATAGGGCAGTTATTTTTGGGTTTTGTTCATTGGTATGTCCTGTACCTAGAACAATGCCTACTATGTAACACATTCAATAAATACTTGTTAGATGAAAGAACCTCCATTTCAGATTATCTTTTAGCATCTTATTAGTCACTATAATTCCAATTATTTAGCTCTGAATTGATTTTGGTCTAATGTATTTTTTGAAAGTTAGACCTGTGAAGGATTTAAAATATATATATATATATATATATACATACATACATACATATATATATAGGTTTAATAGGGAAAAATTGACTTTTTGCACATTTAAGACCATTTTAGTTGCACATATCTTTAGCTATTTAGAATTCATAAGCTAATGAATGTAATTCTTTCTCCATCACCCTAACAGGAAGCTACTGATTTAACACAGAATTTCTTTTTTTTTTTTTTGCTTTTTCTATATATTTATTACAGGTACAACAGAGGTCTTCATAAATAGTTGCATAAAATGTTAAAGCCACAACATTGCACATGATATGAAATAAAACCAAAAAAACCCCAATGAGTGCATTTACAGTATTTTCATCTGACTGTATACTGCTCAACAATCTGATTGACGGCTGGGGGGGTGGGGTGGGGAACACGGGGAGGCCACCCCTAGGGCTCGGGGTGGGACCCAACTTGATGTCCTCGGTGGATGGGCAGAGCCCTCTGACCTCCCCCAGAGGAAGCCCTGGGCAGCGGAGGGGGGGGAGCAGGAGGGAAGGCAGGAGGGGAAAGGACAGACCGAAGGCAGGACCAGTCTTATGTTAACACGGAATTTCTTATTTAGTGTGTTCTCTTGGACCTAGGAATTTACTAGTTTAACTTTGTTCAAATTCCTATGACAGTCCGCTAGGGGGAGTGTTTTCTCAGGCCAACCAGGACGCACTGGTGACTACAAATTTGAGTGTCACACACAGAAAAATAGAATCTTATTTTTCAGACCTTTAGTTTTTTGCCTTTTTGAAGTTTATCTCATTTTCTTATTAAATTTTGCTTATTACAGGAATGGGTAGTTAATCTTTTTCTCCATTTTTAATGTTTTTCCCTGTTTGATGATGGTGTGTTACCACTGGAATTGATGAAATGATTCAAAATCAAAATAAAATGATTTTTAAAATTCTGCTTTTCTAATAAAAATAAATCTCATAACACAATCACTTTTGTAAGGAGCCACCAAGTTTCTATGGTGTATCAAGTAGTGCTGGTAAGAATTTGTTACAGTTGCTGAAAGGGCAGCGTGTAGCATTCTTAACAGTTCAGGCTGGGGAGTTTTTTGGAACAGTGTACTCCCTTCTTCTCTTCCCTGTCTTCACACTGACTTCCCCTTGTCCCCACCCGAAACAAAATCTCCTGGGTCCTGAGGAATTGGAGAGATAGTCTGGTTTTTCTCTCCTAATTCTGGCGTAGGTACTATTTGCACCCACAGGTCGGGTTACGCGCACAGCCCGTGCAGATGGCAGCTGTCACGTGGGTCTCCCGCTCCAGGAGTGACAGTACCCCATCAGAAATGCCGTAGGCCGCTGTTCCACGGGCTTGTGCTATCCGTATCGCAGTCCCCACCAGAGATTTCCATAATGAGTAGAGTAAATGTTTAAAGTAGGTTTTACTTTTGAAATTAATAGCTTTTTGATCAATCTAATAGATGATAGTAGTGGCTCTCCTTGGCAAAACGAGAGGTATTCAGGCTGTGTGAAACGATTAAATTCCTTCAGAGTAGTTCCCCATGCTTGCATGGAAAACACACGAGAGTCTAGTGAGGCTTGTAGCCTGTACATTTAGGCTTGGTGCTTGAGGCTTGACCCCTATAGGGTCTCGCTTCCTGCCATTTTGTCCAAGGATTTCTGGTTGCTTGTTGCTGACTGGATCAGGACAGTCTCACCTCTGGAATATTGTCAAGTTTGCCTTACGTAGGCCTTTTGTGGAAACTGGTGGGTGAGCTACCAAAACAGAGAAGTGGGGCTTCCCTGACCTAAAGGAACAGGTTGCATAAACTGTTTGCATGCTTGCTGATAAATGTTTATTAAAATCTGGGCTTGATTTTTTTTTCCTTTTCTGATTTGGCACAGAGATTGTAGGAAAATAGCTAACCCTCATCCACTTCAAAAATTTCAGTGCCTGTTAGCTATTTTTTTTCTTTTTTATTATTATGTTAATCACCATACATTACATCATTTGTTTTTGATGTAGTGTTCCATGATTCATTGTTTGTGTATAACACCCAGTGCTCCATGCCGATCGTGCCCTCTTTAATACCCATCACCAGGCTAACCCATCCCCCTACCCCCTCCCCTCTAGAACCCTCAGTTTGTTTCTCAGAGTCCATAGTCTCTCATGGTTCGTCTCCCCCTCCGATTTGCCCCCCTTCATTCTTCCCCTCCTGCTTTTTTATTTTTTAACATATAATGTATTATTTGTTTCAGAGGTACAGGTCTGTGATTCAACAACTTACATAATTCACAGCGCTCACCATAGCACATACCCTCCCCAATGTCTATCACCCAACCACCCCATCCCTCCCACCCCCACCACTCCAGCAACCCTCAGCTTGTTTCCTGAGATTAAGAATTCCTCATATCAGTGAGGTCATATGATACATGTCTTTCTCTGATTGACTTACTTTGCTCAGCATAATACCCTCCAGTTCCATCCACGTCATTGAAAATGGCACGCTTTCATTCCTTTTGATGGCTGCATAATATTCCATTGTATATATGTACCACCTCTTCTTTATCCATTCATCTGTCGATGGACATCTTGGCTCTTTCCACAGTTTGGCTATGGTGGACATTGCTGCTATAAACATTGGGGTGCACATACCCCTTCGGATCCCTAAATTTGTATCTTTGGGGTAAATACCCAGTAGTGCAATTGCTGGATTGTATGGTAGCTCTATTTTCAACGTTTTGAGGAACCTCCATACTGTTTTCCAGAGTGGCTGCACCAGCTTGCATTCCCACCACCTTAAAAAGAATCTGAAGGTTGTGAATGACCTTAGGTGTTCGATTGGGGTGGATTATCCAGATTGCTGGTTCGCAATGAATGAATTTAGAAAGTGGCTTAATCCTCATCCAGAGTTTTCCAAGAGAGAATGCAAGTTTATATTCAGTTTTACTGAGTTGACTATTTCCAAGGTGGTTTCTTAAAACTTGGGGATTTCACAAAATACTAAAATTTGAAAACTTTTAGAACCGACATAAGTAACAACTTAATATTTTCTCAGGTATGAGGATATTTAAACCATAGCCACCATTCATTATCACCACCGTTTCATTAAACAATTTAACATCAAAATTTCACAAAATGGACTACTAGCAACTTTACACTGACAACACTGGGAATATTTAAGTGTTTAAAACTAATTTCAAATGCAAAAACAGGATCACACCATAACATTTTATTTTGCAATGTTACACTTTATGCTATTGTTTTATTGATACAGGTTTGTCAGTCTGGAGATCTTAAGACGTTTGGGGTCTCCCAAAATAATTTTTAGTGTTACGCAAAATGGAGTCCAAGTGGCCACTTCTGTCTAGTACTTTTGTTTTTTATCACAGTCATTGTTGAAAACCCATTTTCATCTGGATATATGAAAATGGAAGCGACTCTTCTGAGGCTACTTTAGTCAATTCAGAATATTCTGGGTAAGAACAGCAGGCCCATCTCCAGACAGGGCTAAAGTTAGCAAGGACAGAGACTGGGTGACCAGTTCACAAGCACTGCAGTAAAGGTCAGTGGGATACAGCTGCCTTCAGGCAGGGCTGCAATCTGAGACCTTAGCCCTGAGTGCCAAACTGAAAGTTCTCTGGGAATTGGCGAGGGGAGGACACAGCTGCAGGAGGGAGACTACCAGCCTGTAGACAAGCCATTGGATTATCTGGTATTATGTACTTGGGCCAAAGCAGCACACTACTCACCACTACACATTGCTTGGGTACTCGATCATTAGGTTTTACAGACTGAACAAAGGACTGAGATAAAAAAAATAATTTTTTGAATGAAGAACCAATTCTTATAAGCACTGAGTGAAGTAGACACTTGGATCCGAAAGACAGTCTTTGAGCTCCATTAAATCTGCTAACCTAACTGAGAATCGATGAAAATGGAAAATAAAAGTTTCTTATATTGTAAACTCACAGGGATCTGATTTTTCTCCCTGAGCACCTGAAGAAGACAGTAAGGAATTTAATTTGAGATTGCCAATTTCTTTTCCTAGATACACATTTGTTCAGGGGGTAAGGATTTTTTTTTTTTTTTTTAAACCTTGGTGAACATTCCTTCCCTAAAACAAGCCTCCTTAATCCAATTTGGGTTGGGGGCAGCCTAGTGGGATAGAAGGTATAATCATCCATGATTCAGGAAGTCAGCTTTATAATCACCAGGCTGACCTTGAACAAATCAATCTCTCTTGTTCCTTGTTTCTTCATTTATAATAAGAATCAAAAAGCCCTCTCTGACCCTTAAGATGGCATGAGACCAGGGCAAATGTTTTCAGAAGATCAAATGTGTTTCTTCACAAGGCAGTTTTAGTGACCTGAAACAGGATATGATTAAAAGTACTTCCAAATAGTATATTAAAAGTCACCAATAAACTACTTAGATATTGCAGAATCTTCTTTAAATACCAGAACTGAAAAAAATTAGAGTTATAAAAGGGAAATAAAGGTATTGGAGTCCCAGTCACTAAAAAACTAAAAGCATCGGTCTAAAAAAAGATTTCTGACCCCCCTCTCCACCCCGAGTTACCAATCAGGATCCTGCTTTCTAATGGCCCCTGGGTATTTTACCTGTAATGGTGCTGCTCAGTAGACCTTTTTTTTTTTCTTTACAGTCCTTAATTCTGCCTTTGATCTGCCATTGCTATCAGTGTTGATAAATCTATCTTGTGATCCAGAATTTTTGTTATCAACAGGTTGGCTTTATTGTTGGCTATCTTATATAGAGGTTTTCTCTTTACTGATAACAGAAGACCTAAAGGGAAGGAGAAAACCATTTGTGCATTTTTCTTTGTTCTTGCCATCTCATCCAGCTCCAAATCACTGCTTTATTAAGCTAGAAGCCTGGACTGAGTCTGAGGCAACTATTTCACCATGTGCCCGTACCCCTAAAATGCTGACTCTTTAATAGGCCACTAAAATGATTCTAGAGTCTTGGTTTTTCTCTCTAAAGAGCAGGGAGCTCTTCCTTCGATTCAGATGGCAGCCAAGGATGTCTTAGGTACCTGGATTGCTTTTAATCACAGCTGAAAAAATTTGTCAAATTTAGGGTCTTTTATATTCATAATTTTCAGGTGGTCTGTTCTCATGAACACACAGATTTTAGAGCCCAGGGGCCCTGTTAAGTGCTACAAAGAGGATCTATCTTCCCCATTTCCAGCCATTAAGATTCCCATACTCTGATTTCCTAATACTGGAGAAGTTGGGCTGGAGTTAGAAGTAATCTGGTCCAAAAGAAATCTGGTCCAGAAACCTGGTTTCTATTAAGTGTTCTTCAGTCATCTCCTATTTAGACCTCAAGCCTGCAAAGTGTGGTTTTCATAGCCCCTATTTGCCTGAAAAAAAGCATTTGTTCCACAGAAACATGAGATACAAAATTTTATAAGACTTCCCTTCTATGCAAGTTCCACTAAAGACTGATTCATTCTCTACTACTGACTGCATAAAACACAGAAAGCTATCTGGCACTTTAACTTCCTTCTCAGTAAACCAAGAGATAATGTGATTTCGAATCTGTAGAAGAAATAGGCGCAAATTAGGTCAATGGCCCAGGGTCTCATAAACTCAGAGGTGGGCAGAAATCTGAGGGACCTCCGCTGGTGATAGTAACCAGAAATCTGCCTGGGCCTGCTACCCTCCTGCCACAAGGTGGCAGGATTCCCCTTGCCTGAAATCTCCAGGTCACTGAAAGGACACTGATTTCCATCCACAGTGTATACATTATCTCCTCTGGGTTTAAGTAATTGTGTCAGACTGTCTGTTTCCAAGGGCTGATAAGCTCCAGCTCGCTTTCAAGATGTTAACCAGCAAAATGTTTTCCACGCCAGCTTGGCGGTAGCTTTTCACCAACAATAGTGACCAACCTTTTCCTTTTGCTTCATGCACCAATGTTGTAACTAGAAGGTAATAAACTCAAAGCCCAGGCTTCAGTAAAAATAAAAATAGCTGTTATTTGTTACATACTGTAACATACTGTAACATACCAATACTGTGGGGCGGGGCACTCTGATAACCACTTTACATACATTTTATTTTCACTACAACACTGAGAGACAGGTACCATTCTCATCTCCATTCTGTGCATGAGGACACCAGGATTACCTGCGGCTAGGAAGTGGTGGTTCTGGGGTCTGAACCCAGGCTTGTCTATCTCCAGAGCTAGCTCTCAGCCACCATGAATCATAAAGAAAAATTAGTTCATAGGGATGTATTGAAGTCATGTTTCTGCCATCAGATAAAATAGTTCATTGGTGAGGTAGTCGTGTTCACAAACTTTATTATGTCCTGAAGTGGGGCCCAAATTCTTTACCAAACTACCAAAGCATTCTTGTACCCTCAGTTCAAGCATGTGCTACACCCCTTGCTTTAAAATAAAACCAAATCTTAGATGGTTTCTCTACTTTGGTTCTAAAGACTGTGTTTTATTTGCCAAAATTTAAGTCACTGACCATTTCAAAAAGAATTCAGGTATATATGTTTTTTTTTTTTAATTAATTTGTTCTCAACATGCCAGATAGGGAAGTTTAGTATATTAAAAGTTCTGAGAAGTCCGGGAAATGAACGTGTGTCACTTTGTTTACCCTAGTTTGTTTTTTCCTAAACTGATCTGCCTCAGAGCCTTTCTCCCTCCTCCTCATAGTCAGTGCCACATTCCTTGCAATCAGCAACCCCTGCAGTACCCTCTAGGAAATGCTACCTTGTACGGCAGCCATAAAGAACTTACCATTGCTTCGATACACTGTCCTCTGTCATGCCTCAGGGCCTTTGCATATACAGTTTCTTCTTCCCGGAATGGTTTCTCTTCTCCACCTGGATGAACTGTTACTCGCCCTTCAAGAAACAACTCAGGTGTAACCCTCTCAGTGAGGTCTTTAACCAGCTTTCCTAGATGGTCTCTCCACTCGCACTACACTGAGATTTCTACTGCAGGACTCATATTTTCATTATTTCTTCATGGTTGCCTCTCCCACTTGATTGTTGTCTCAAGAGTAATGATCGTGTTCTATTTCTCTTTATTAGCACCCACATCTTTAACCGCACCTCACGCTTAGTAGGTGCTCATGAGATGTTTGTTGAAGGAATGAATAAAGATGAGGAAACAGACTCAGAATGTTTAGGCAACCAGAGGTCCCGTAGCTATTTCATAGCAGAGTTGGGCCTCACACATGTGGTGCCTTCACTCAATGTATCCTGCTCTTGTCGCTGTACCCGAATAGCAAATCTGTGACAGCAGGTCAGCCATCCCCCTACCCATACCCCGGGACAATACTAATAAGTCAGCTCCACCAAACCCAGGCTTTTGCTCTGGAACATAAAGCATCGCTCTAAGAAACCACTAACAGAGTGGGCCCATGAGATGAAAAATATTCGATCTCGTTGCCCTCTTCCACACTATGTCCTCCTATCAATCCATTTTTGTGGACGTGGCAGAAGGCTGTAGATTGTAGAATTCCTCCCCTGCTTTGCTACAGACAAGGTACCCCGAACTACCTCTCTGTCACTGAGCAGCTTCTGTCCCTCCTCAGGGAGGCCCCAAGGTGAGCAGCTAAAGGCTCCCTTCCCCATCTGCCCCAGTGCCTCCAGCTTTTCCTAATAGCCTGCCTTGGACAAGCCGCTGTCCCTTGGCACCAGGATGCAAGAGCACATTTGCCTCCCACCCACTCATACACCAAGGTTTGCCCAAGTATTTTACCCCCGAATTTTGTAGAGACAGTGTTGGAATATTTACTGGTAAATGCTGGGCAAAGAATAGGAACGCCCCAGCCAGGAAACCAGCTGACGAGCATAAAGTTCATCCCAAAGGACTTGCCCAAGGCTGGTTTGGCCTACAGCACATCACCCATGCTCCGCCTTGCTGCACTTCTCTCTGGAGATACTCTCTCCAAATCCTACTTTCCTCGGCTTTCCCTCCCTAGACCCTCAGCCCAGAAGAGGCTGTTCTGTTCTGTTCACATGACCAAGAGGACCACAGACCACTAATTGATCAGGGCATTCCTTTTTTCCCTTCTTGTGAAGAGAAAAGGATGGTTCTCCCTGCTGCTTCTGCTGGCTTCTACATCTTAAGACCCTCCAAAAGTAATACCGAAATAGCTTTTTGGCATGCGGCTGTCCTAGAAACATTTAAAAATAACAAAAATGAAGTTGATGCACCATACTCTCATCCTTCCTATATGTCTGGGTGACTAGCGGGAGTTGTAAAAGTAGCTAATATTTATTGACTATTTATTTATTGAGCTAGTATTTATTTACCATAAGCCAGATGCTGTGCTAAGTGTGTTATGTAAAAATCTCAGTTGTTCTTCATTATGTTTCCATATTATAGATACTATTCTACTCCTCATTAGAGGAAACAGGCTTAGGATAACTTGCCTAATGACACATAGAAAATGGCAGAGCCTGGATTCCAACACAGGTCCGTCTGACTCTAAACTCCATGACCTTAACTGTTATATTCTTGTAACCATTAGAACTGTCCAGTATTGGAAAGGGCCACTTCGACAGGTAATGAGTGAGTTCCTGATTTGGGGAGGTGTTTAATCAGGTATCTGGATTACTGCAGTAATCTCAAAAATCTGTTCTACCAATATAGCTTGGTCTAATCACCCTGGTGATTCTCTATTTGCCAACACAATGGCTTCTTATTAGTCCTCATTCTCTTATCATCATCATCATCATCATCATCATCATCATCACCTCTAATTAGCACGTACTCTGTCAGGCCTCTTTCTGAGCAGTTTTATTTACATTCATCATTTAGTCACATTTTATAGATTTTTATAGATAAGGAAACTGAGAAGTAAAGTGACTTACTTGTCCAGGGTCAGACAACTAATAAATAACAGAGCTGGGATTATGGCCAGGCATCTCTCTTAACACTACATTATATTGTCTCTTAATATTTGACACACATGCCATACTCTTGAAAAACTTATCTTTCTTATTATCACAGGTATAATACATATTTGTTGTAAAGAAAAAAAGTCAAATAGCACAAACATATAATGTAGAAGTTGAAAGTCCCCCATAATCCTGTCCAGAGATAATTACTATTACCTTTACTAACTATACATTTATATCTATTTATCAGTTATACTACATATAATACTCATTAATATGTATTTTTTCATGTTTTTACCCCTAATAATATATCTGCAGTATTTTTCTATAACTCTTCAAAGCTCCACTTCATGTTTTTGAATGACCATATTATATGATCATGAACATGGACCTCATTATATTGACCATAAACATGTACTGATGTTTCTACTGGTGGACATTTGAGTTTTTTCTACTGTTTTACTATCACTAAAAAAATCTAGGGGCACCTGGGTGGCTCAGTCGGTTAAGCCTCTGACTCTTGATTTTGGCTCAAGGCATGATCTCAGGTTCCTGAGATGGAGCATTGCGTGGGGCTCCCTGCTCAGCATGGAGTCTGCTTGTCCCTCTCTCTCTGCTCATCCCTCCTCTCACCCATGCTCTAAATAAATAAATAAAATCTTAAAAATAAAATCTACAAGGAAGACAGAAGGCCCTCCTTCTGCATGACCCCCAAATAATACGATAATAGTAATTACAATAACTAACATTTCACAGCTTACTATGTGCCATACATTAAGTAAAGCACTTAAAATAGAGTGCTCTTATTATTCACATTTGTAAAATTATTTCTTTTAATTTTTTTTAAGTCAACTCCACCCCCAACATGGGACTCAAACTCACAACCCCCAAATCGAGAGTCATATGTTCTGCTAACTGAGCCAGCCAGGCGCCTCTTCACATTTTTTTCAGATGAAGAAAGGAAGACACAGGAAGTCTCACTGCAAATGGGAAAGCTCAAATTTGAGCCCTGTTTTGATTCCAAATCACATTGCATATATTATCTCTAAAATCAGTGTAAGTGTTCTTTCCTGAGCCCTTTCATTTGACATATACATATTCCATGGGTTTCGTATCCATTTCCTTCACTTCAGAGTCTATCTCCTTGAGCTCCTGGACCATTCAGCCTACTAGATATTGCCAAGGGGATGCACTGTGGGTACCTCAAACTTAACACACCCAAAACAGAAATCATCATCTTCCTCAGACCCTCTAGACATCCTCCAGGATGATCTCCATTGTCAACACTATTTCATTTAGTGGCATTGCCATTCATCCAATTGTCCCAGCTAGAAACTTCAAAGCCTCCTGTGACTCCTGCCTCCATCACACCTCCCATCTAATTGGTGCTAAGGTCTTGTTAGAATAGATCACAAATTGTTTCTCAACCCATCCTCTCCACCTTCCTCCTACTACGGCCTTAGATAATTAAGGCTCCCAATACCTCCCCCTTGGACTGTTGTATCTGCCTCCTAACTGATCTCCCTACTTCTAAAATCTCCCTAGGTCCCATCTATCCTTCCACTGAGTTAATGTTGTAGAGCCAATAATTGATTATGTCATATCTGGCTTAAATCCTTCTGACTACTAAATAAGTTCTAAATGCCTTAGCATGGCACATAAAACATCACATAACCTGACCCTAATTTATCTTTCCAAACTCATCTCCAGCATGTTCTTACTCGTGTACCTTAAACCACAACCACCCTCGGTCACTTGTGTTTCCTCAGAAATATCAAATATCTCCATGCCACTGTGCTTTTATTCCTGCTACCGGAAATGCCCTCCTCTGGCTTCTCTGCTACCTGCTGATATTTTATTTTCCTTTGAAGACCCAGCAACCTGCCCCCAGTATACACACAGTTTCCACCCATATTTCTCGTCTCCCAATGTATTCCTTGTCCTCTTTGTTTACATTTCTATTAATGCTTTACTACAGACTAGTCATCTAGTCACATGTGTCTGTTTTTCTGAAAGGACTCTATCTTAAACATGTTAGTATTTTTAGTGCCTAGAAGGAGCTTGATATGCAAATAATTAAAACTGAAGTACATTTGTGATTTAGGTAAAAGTTTACTCCCAAATCTGAGATGTTCTGTGCCTTTTCAATACACTAAAATCAATTAGTACTTGAGGATTGCGACTACCATTTAAACTAGAATTAACTCCTACTTCAAGGGGCCATTTCTGCTTTCACTTCTTTGCAGAGGCTTTAAAAGCCAAGAATTTGGGCTCCTGGCAACGAACATCCAGTGGATGTTGTCATGGGCTTTCCGGGGAGGTGGGGTAGAAAGCACAAGAACACACCGGAAAACTCGCAGTCTCCCAGGCCATCTGGGATTGATTAGCCCAGCGAGATGCTCAGGCAAAGAGAACAATTTTTGTACTGGGTTTTTTTTGACATCTGGGCTTTGGCAGCTACTCCTATGACTTTGCTCAGCAGTTCTTGGGGAATGAGATACAGGCTTGTTTCGGTGGAAGAAAAACCTCTACTGACTCAACTTCTCCTACAGCAGAACCCTTCAAAAGATTCTTCCTCTTACATGGATTTTCTTGCCAGGTTCTGGTCTCACTGCCATTTACAGAGAGAGTCAGTCTCCATGCACCTAAAGAAATTCATACCACCTGGGGTCTGAATGAGGTTAGACCAACCCCTCCTCATTTCTTCTTCTCCTATGGTTCTTTTCAAACCACTAAGGCAAGTTCCTTTGCAGAACATTGGGCTCCCTTCCATCAAATGAGAGCTATCATCCTAGGGATTTGTAAGGATTAAATACTTCATGACTAGGATCTAGCTCAGTTATAGGCACTTACACCCAACAAATTTTAATCTGTCTTTGAAGAGAATAGTTCAAGGTCAACATCACTGTGAGATGAACAAAAAGCAATGATATGCCAAAGATAAAGAAGGGGACAAACCTGCACAAAACACTCTTTTATTACTAACTCTGGAGATAATTAAATCCACCACCCCCCGCCGCAGCCAAAACACTTGCCTTATATCGAAGGACCTAGATTTTGTATGTTCAGCAAGAAAAAACAACTTTAATGTATTCATTTCCTTTGTATAAGTCCATATTGGATCTGTCACAAATTGTCAGCTGAGACACTGCCTTTGGTTTTGGTTCCAATGCTCAGCATTGAAAGAGATATTAAGAATACTAAGTATTACTGCAGCAGACCCCCATAACATTGGTTTCTGAGGCACTACTAGAAATCAACTAGTTACTTCCAAAGGATTTGGCCAAATCCATAGTACAGGTTGGCATTCTGCCTTATGAGTAAGAATAACAAAGGTGATCACCCGTAGGGGAATGAATCTGGGCAAGGCCATGTTATCCACATATCCACATATCCACACGGATGACATGGTTGATGCTCAGAGCCAGAACTCACCTCTGCAATAGGTTAAGGAGGTCTCTTGTGTCTCTGCTTTTACTGTGCTCACTTCCGTATAAAAGGATTTGAATCATCAGACACTGTAGGTAAGTTGAGAAATACAGCAGGTTAAAGAGAATCAGACGGCAAGCAGCTTCATAATAAACCAAACTCAGGAGAGCACTAGTGGAATGGAGATATCATGAGTTTACATTTCAAATTTCTGCACTGCATCTCCTCCTGGTTCCCAACCACGGAGGACAAGGAGCCTGAATTGAAGGCTCTGCACACTCCTATGCTCTGTGTGTATCATTCCACTTTACTGCACCTACCACTGCCGTATGTGGCTACTGATCACCAAAGTAACAGGGCCAAAACATGGCTGCAATAGTGGTTTCCATGAAGATTTTCCAAATAGCTATGACCAGATGGATGGACATAAATGAAATCTGTGTGTGGGTCCTAAATTTGCAGTGCATTCTCATGCTGTATCACTTTACTCTTAGGCAGTTTTCCATTTAAAATTTTATTGCTGACCTCTCTTTCCAATCAAGATGGAATAATAGGGATCAGATTTACCCTTGCACTTGAAACAGCCAAAAAAGGAAAAAGTAAATAAATATATGAAACTATCTTCAAGAAACTGAACATCAGCCAACAAAGAACAGTGGTCCCTGAGAGAGGGCAACAAGTGAGATAAATCCTATGACTGCCCCCAGATTATTGCTTTGAGAGCATTTCCAGGCCATGATGCAGGGAAAGGAACAAAGTGAAGCTCAGCAGACTCCCTGAATTGAGGATAAGGAGCTGGGAGTCCCCAGAGGCTCTCAGAACACAGTAAAAGAGAAGAGACAGCTGCGTAGAAAAAGATCCAGGAATATTTGCAGTGGGTCCCCTTTAAATATTCAGCAGAGTATTGATTAGCACATCTAAAGCTGGGGAAAGAATCGGCTGATGGGGCAGGAGGGAACAGGGCTAGGTATAGTGCTTATTCCAACCAGCCAATCTGGAAAGCCTCATTTTTCATGGATCTTTGGGTGGTGTACTCAGAAGGCTTTTGCCTCAGTAATGGGGGAAATTAGCCTTTGACTAAATGTTGCTCTAGTCTCATCTACTGAATCTTAAAAAGCAAGACCTAAAAGGACGAAACTATAAATGACTTCCAGAAAAAATTCAAAAATACTTATAGGAATACAAAAATATCCAGCACCCAATAAAGTAAAATATACAAAGATAGCAAGGCATGTGTGATCCATATGAGAAAAATCAATCCCAAACTGATATAGAGGTTAGAATTAGCAGAGAAGTATATTAAAACTGTTATTGTAACTTTAATCATGTATTAAAAAAATTAAGTGAGGACATGAAAAACACATTTTTTTAGAAGACCCAAATCAAACTTCTGGAGATGAAAACGTCTGAAAGGAACAATACACTGGATGGGATTAAGAGTTTGACACTGAAGAAAAAAAATCAGTGAACCTGAAGGCACAGCAATAGGAACTATCCATAAAAAAAATCAGGGATTATTGCAGCAGGTACAGAAAAATAATTTTTATAATACCCAATTTTATACACCTTTTGACAAAGGTGCAAAGATAATTCAGTAAAGAATGTCTTTTCAAAAAATGGTGCTAGAACAACCAGATATCCATATGCAAAATTAATTAATTAATTAAACTAAGATCCAGTCCTAGTGCCACATAGGAAAACTGACTCAAGTGGATCTAGACCTAAATGTTAAACCTAAAACTACAAAAAATCTAGAAGAAAACACAAGAGAAAAATCTTTGTGGCTTTGGTTAGGCAAAGATTTCTTAGATAAAACATCAAAAGCACAATCCATAAAAGAACAAATTGATAAACTGGACTTCATTAAATTTTAAAACTTCTGCTCTTCACAAGACATTTGTTAAGAAAATGAAAAGGCAAACTGCAGACCAAGAGAGAATACTTCCAAATCATATATCTGTTAAAGAGCTTGTATCTAGAGGTGCCTGGGTGGCTCAGCTGGTTAAGCATCTGCCTTCAGCTCAGGTCATGATCCCAGGGTCCTGGGATGGAGCCCCGCATCGGGCTCTTTGCTTTGCAGGGAGCCTGCTTCTCCCTCCCCTTCTGCTGCTCCCCCTGCTTATGCTTTCTCTCTCTGTCAAATAAGTAAATAAAATCTTTTTTAAAAAAATAAAGAACCTATATCTAGAATATATGAAGAACTTTCACTTTTTTTCACTTTATAGCATCATTTATGGCATGAACTAGGAACATGTACTTATACAAACACCCAACAATTGTACACCAGCAACTTTACAATTATCCTAAAGGAGTCATATACAAGTCTACAGGCACCATATACACCATGGTTAGGATATATGAAGAACTTTTAAAAGAATCATAAGAAAGCAAACAACTAATGAAAAATGAGCAAAAGATTTTGATCAACACTTCACCTAAGAAGATAAAATGAGAAATAAGGACAAGGAAAGATGCTCAAGATAAACACAAATGAAAACCACAATGAGGGGTGCTTGGGTGGCTCAGTAGGTTGAGCATCCGACTTGTGATTTTAGTTCAGGTCATGACCTCATTGGTTGTGATACTGAGCCCTGTCTGGACTCCACACCCAGCGGGGAGTCTGCTTGTAATTCTCTCTCTTTCTCTCTCTCTGCCCCTCCCCCCACTTGTGATCTCTCTCTCTCTCTCTCTCTCTCTCTCTAAAAGAAAGAAAGAAAGACAGGAATGAAGGAAGGGAGGGAAGGAAGGAAGGAAGGAAGGAAGGAAGGAAGGAAGGAAGGAAGGAAGGAAGGAAGTCTTAAAAACCACATACAATGAGATACCGCTACATACCTATTAGGGTGGCTACCATGAAAAGCCCTGGCCACACCAGCTACTGGCAAGGATGTGGAGGAACTGAATTCTCAGACCCTGCTGGTGGGAATATAGAACATGATGCGACCATTCTCCAAAATTTTGGCAGTTTCTTATAAAGGTAAACATACACCTATCATATTACATAGTGCTCCCATTTCACTCCTAAGGATTGACCCAAGAGAAGAAAGTATATATCCATACAAAGACTTGTGCATGAACATTCACAGCAGCTTTATCAATGATAAACCCAAACTGGAAACGGTCAAATGTTCATCATCAGGTGAATGGATAAAAAAAATCATGTTGTCCATGTAATGTAATATTCAGCAATAAAAGTAAACCATGATACACAAAATAATATGGATAAGTCCCAAAATAATTATGCTGAAAGGACGATTCAAAAATGTATAACTTTAGGATTCTACTTATATAAAATTTTTGAAAATGCTAATGTATCTTTAGTGACAAAGCAAACCAATTATTGCCTGGGGGTGGGGGGGGGGGGGGGGGGGGGGTGGGATTAATTACAAAGGGGACTGGGGAAACTTTTGGGGGTGACTGATATATTCATGACCTTGATTGTGGCAACGGTTTCACAGGTCAAGATATCAAAACTGATCAAACTGTGCACCTCAAAATGTGTGCAGTTTATTGTATGCAAATAAAAATTATTCCATCACAAGGTTATAATTTTTAAGGTTTGTCTCTTCTTTATCTTCTCACCTCCACCCGACCGCATTTAACTTTGATTCCTTTTACATGAACATTGGACTGCCCAAGAAAAAAAGTCAGCCCAAAGTGTCACCCTCTTTATGCTCTATTCTGTCTGCCAAAGGGGTTTCCTCACAGCCATCAACTTTTGCTGAGGTCTCTCACCTTCGTTTTAGCTCCAGGAGTAGTTGCCAACCCCCAGAACAGCATCTATTAACATCGGCTAATTCAGAAACCTCATGGCCAGCATCCCACTCATAGCAGATCCCCAGCATGAGGAAGGAGTTCAAAGCTCAAAACAAGAGCTGTACTGTCAGCATGCCCTTCTATACCTCCCCCCCTTTCTGGGCTAGGACACTGAAGTAGGGCCTAAAGCCCTCAGGATAAAAGCCGATAACCAAGATGCAGCCCCCACCTACCTTACAGAATCCTAAATCTCCAAGTTGACTCTCTATTCCAAATGGAGGATGTGGCTATGGCTTCAGACAGCCACTAGCAAGTAAAATCTAGAACAGGCTCTCCTTTAGTCTTGTGTAGAATATGGTAAGCCCTTATAACATGTATGCTGGGGCAGGTTTGTTGGTTTGTTTGTTTGTTTTCAGAAAAGTTGTTTTCAATGATTTCTTTGATTACTGTTTCTCTTCCAAGTATTATCGTTCTTTAGGTGAATCTCTACTCTGCCCTCCATAGTGACTTTCTCATTATCTCTCTCTCTCCTCTCTGCATTCTAGGACAGATTTTCGAGTCCATCATATAAATCTCTGATCCTTTAAACAGGCAGGATATGACTTCTCTAGAAGTATTAAAAATACAGAATCGAGACACACCTCTTAGAACTTGTGATTTAAAGGTTTGAGGTGAGGCTCAGGACTCTGTCTTTTGTTAGTCTGTTTCATTTTTGTTTTGATTTTTATTGACACCGCTGCAATTTTAGATTTGGGAAATCTCACCATCACTGCGACATGTTAAGACAGTCTTCCCTATTTTCCATGTAGATTTGAATTCTACTGGATTTGTTGTTTCCTTGAAATCCCTTATTTCACTCTTAAATCTCATCTCATCTTTGGGCCTCAGACTGTCTGTCATCCTTTCATTGTAAAGTTTTCTCTCCTTATAGGTTTCTCTGCTCCCATCCCTATGTTCATGCTTCCCTCGAAGACACTCTTCTGATCCCTGCAACTTATTTTCTTAAGGTTTTCTTTTTCTCAGAATCTTCAAAATGATTCTCCTGTTATTCACTGTCTTCATAACTTGTTTTCTGATTCTGTTTAGTTAACCTGAAATGAGATAAAAATCTCTCCAGACATGATGTTTGCCGATGTACATGTACGGATTGCTTGGGACTCCACTTCGCTCTCATGAGTACTGATTGGTCTTTACCAACTCTTCCTCTGACCTTGAACAAATTTAGATTTTATGTAGAGACATCCCTACTGATTCTATCATGTCTTTAGCCTAGGTCTGTCAGTATGCTGACTAGCTGAACAACTGTTTGGTCACAATTCTTGCCAGATCCTACTACAAGATATGAACATCCAGTGTCCTCTGAGCCCCCTGGAAGAGGAATCGGTACTTGGGTAAGAATGGTTTATAAAAGGTGTTCCTGATTCCTCCCAACCTTGGGTGCTTTCCTGATATTCAGCCACTGGCAGACCTAGATTCTAACCCTGGGGTGTTACTCTTTTAAGACTCTGGTCCAGGCATTCACACAACACAAGTTTCTGTATCATGTTCTCCTTTAGCACATCTAAGAAAGTGAATTTTCGCTTTACTTAAAAAATAAAAAGGAATAGAGAAGGAAGGAAAAAAGAAGAAGGAAGAAAAGAAAGAGAGAGGTGAAAGGAAGCAGAAGGGAGGGGAGGGGTGGGAAAGAAAGGGAAAATACACACACACACACACACACACACACACACACACACATGCATCACTCCTCACATTGTGCTTACAGGCCTGGGAGAGAATGTAAAAAGCAGCCAGCATTCACCTTCCTTAACAGCTGAATTGCCTTCCTGAGCTCTCCTTTGGCAAAGCAGATCCTGCCCATGTTGTAAAAAGTTTCAGCCACCTTTTCACTACAGTCACCATAGCTGATGACCTGAGACCTCAGGGTGGCCTTTAGCAGTCTGTAAGCCTCCTAGGGAATTAAAGAAAAGTGTTTTATAATCATCTGGGCAATTCTGAAGGAGTATTCCAGTTCTAATCCATTAACTCTATGGAGAGGATGTTCTAGGTCACACTGACGTAACCTACCTCGATCAGGCGGTTGTGACATGTCACCTAAGTAAAGTGTTTCTGTGAAGAGGTAACATTCCAAGCTTATGTTTAATAATAATAGTTAATTCATGCATGACTACTCTCTGAGAGAGGAACTATTATTATATTTATTTTACAGATGGAGGAATGGATCTTGCCCAAGATCATACTGCCTCTTTTTGATTTACCTGTTCAGATTTACCTGTTTTTCCCCGTTTTGGACAAGCCATTTGCAGAATTCTTCAATGGTTGTCAGTGTTTCATAATCCGTTGGGCCCAATGTTGCTTGATACGCATTGATACTTTTTATATAATATATCTCAACGGCATCTGCAAAAAAAAGGGGGAACATTTAAGGCAGGCCGCTAGCCTTTACAAGTAGCTAATACAGCTTTGGCTCAATTAGACATTTCATACTTAAAGTCATTGCCCGTTCTCATTCTAGGTCTCATAAGGACCCTCAAAAAGTCTGAGATATAATTTGATGGCATCAGTTGATGTAATTTTATTCTGTTGATGAAAGGTATGGATTTTTCTGTAGGAAAAGAAAGCCATGCCTGAACAGCCTATCCTAAGACCCCCAAATAACTACCATATTAAACTCCCAAGGGCAATGAAAGACTATATATTTACCTAAATTAAACTCTCATAGAGAGTATTGTTTACTGGGATTCCTGCTAGGGGAGTGTGTGTGTGTGTGTGTGTGTGCGCGCGCGCGCGCGTGTAGAGGGAGAGTTTTTGTTTCAAAAGTATTTTAAATAGAGTTGTTGTTATTTAAAAATTTACTTTTAACTTTTCTTTTATTCCAAACATAATAGATGTTTATGTAATCAGTCTAGAAAATGCAACAGAGGCAAAAAGAAAGGAACAATTATCTCCACGCACGCTACTCAGAAACAGGCACTGTTAACATTTTTTACCACGGTATTAAGGTATAATTCAGCTATTGTTGTAACATTCAACTATTGTAATTACACAGTCTGATAAAGTTTTATTAAATTTATAGTTATGTAATCATGATCAAGATCCAGTTTTAGAAGATATCCATCACCCCAAAATGTTTCTTCATGGCTGGTTGCAAGCAATGCCTACTCTCATCCTGTCTCAGGCAATCACTGATCTTTGTTCTATCTCTGTTTTTGCCTCTTCTAGAAATTTCATATAATTGGATTCCTACAACATGTAGTCTTTTGTGATTCTTTCAAAATGCATCATGCTGTTTTTGAGATTCATCTATGTTCTTGCATGAATTAGTACTTTATTCCTCCTTCTGCTGAGTAGATACACGTTTTGTTTACCATTCACAAGTTGATGAATATTTGTGTTTGTGTATACAGTCTATTATCCACACATCAGTTCCAATTCTCTTCATTCCTTTCTGTGGATTTGAGTTATCATGGGCTCCCATTTTCTTTCAGCCCAAGGGCTTCCTTCAGTATTTATTTTAGGTCAAGACTGCTACCAACAAATCTTGTTTATCAGGGAATGTCGATCTCACCTTCATTTTCTTTTCTTTTTTTTAAAGTATTATTTATTTAGGCAATCTCTATCCCCATGTGGGGCTTGAACTGACAACTCCGAGATCAAGAGTCACATGCTATTCCAACTGAGCCAGTCAGGCGCACCTCACCTTCATTTTCAAAGGGTCGTTTTCCTGAATATACAGTTCTTAGTTGAATTTTATTCCAATATTTTGAGTATGTTTTTCCACTACCTTCTAGCCTCTGTTATTCTGATGAAAAATCAGCCATTAATCATATTGTTGTTTCCCTGTACAAAGCTGTTTTTCCACTGCTGCTTTCAAGATTTTCTTTTTGTCATTCAGCAATTTGACTATGTGCCTATTTGTGGTTCTCTTTGTGCTTGTCTTACTTGGCATTGAGAATTCTGGATCTGTAGATAACAACCTTGGGAAATTCGGGGCCATTAGTTCTTTAGATAATTTGCTGCCTCATTCTGTCTTCTGCCCTTCTGGAGCTCCTATTACAGGTATGTTGATACACCAGGCGTTGTCCCACAGATCTCTTATGCTTTGTTCATTTTTCTTCAATACCTTTTTTCTCTGCTCTTTGGAGATCATCTCTAGTGCCATACCTTTGAGTGATCTCATTCTCTCCTCCGCCATCTTGAATCTGATGTTGAGACCATTTAATGAATTTTCATTCAGTTACTGTATATTACAACTCTAGAATTTCCATTTGGCTGTTTTTTTCTTAGTTTAGATTTCTCTATTGAGAGTTCCTATTTTCATTGTATTTTCTTTTAATTCTTTGGACGGTTTCCTTTAATCCTTTGAAGATATTTATGATAGGTGCTCTGAAGTCTTTGCTAAATCCAACATGTAGCCCACTTAGCATCAATATCTATTGACTACTCTTTTTCTGAGTACAAGCCATGGGTTGTTTCTTTGTATGTTTCTCTTTTGTTGAAAACTGTACATTTTAGACATTATATAGTAACAACTACAGATTCTGATATATTTTTGTGAGTTTTTGTTTTTTGTTTTGTTTGTTTTGTTTTAGTGAATTGCCTAGACTTAAACTACAGAGTCTATCTCCTCCTATGTTGTCTGAATGTTAATGTCTTTGCTCAGGTGTTTGATTTCTTTAAACTTTATTTTTTAAGGCAGTTCTGCATTCACAGAAAAACTGAGTGGTAGGTACAGAGATTTCCCATACAACCTTGTCCACATACAGCATTTGTGATGGTTAATTTTAAGTGTCAACTAGACTGGGCTAAGGGATGCCCAGACAGCTGCTAAAACAATTTCTGGGTATTTCTGGAAGAGATGAATAACTGAATCAGTATACCGAGTAAAGAGCTTTCCTCACCAAGTTCAAAAAAAAAAAAAAGGCAAAGGAAGGCGAATTTTCTTCTTGAGCTGGAAATCCATCTTCTGCCCTCAAATATTGAAGCTCCTGGTTCTTGGGCCTTTGGACTCTGAGACTTACCAGTAGTCCCCTCACTCCTATTGGTTATATTTCTCTGGAGAACCCTGACTAATACAGATTTTGATACCAAGAGTGAGCTTGACAACAAGGACTTCTACTTGTCAAAGCCATGGCTGAGTAGTCAATCAGCCAGCAGATAGCAACACTGAGCCCCTGATTTGGCACCATTACCTGGGGTGATTAGCCAGCTACCTGGTAGCAAGCTGATTACATTGAACCATTTTCTTCATGGAAAAGGCAGCATTTTGTCCTTAAGTGGAATAGATATCTACTCTGGATATAAATTTGCCTTCCCTGCATGCAATGCTTCTACCGAAACTACCATCCATAAACCTACAGAATGCCTCACCCACCATCATGGTATTCCACATGGCATTGCTTTGGATCAAGGAACTCACTTCACAGCCAAAGTACAGTAATGAGCCCATGCTCATGGAATTCCCTGGTCTTACCATGTTCCCCGCCGTACTGAAACAGCTGGCTTGATAGAATGGTGGAATGGTCTTTTGCAGACAGTTCCAGTGCCTGCTAGGGAGCAATACTTTGTAAGGCTTGAGTTCTACAGAAGGCTGTATATACTCTGGATCAGCATCCAAAATATGGTGTTATTCCTCCAATAGCCAGGATTCACAAGTCTAGACATCAAGGGGTGGAAATATAAGTAGTACCACTCACTACTAGTGACCCACCAGCACAATTTTTGCTTCCTGTTCCCATAACTTGATTCTCTACTGGCCTAGAGGTCTTAGTTCCAGAGGGAGGAAGGCTTCCCCCAGGAGATACTACAACGATTCCACTGAACTGGAAGTGAAGACTGCCAGCTGGCCTCTTTGGGCTCCTCATGCCCTGAACCAAGGAAAAGGAGTTCCTATGACTGAGCCTGACTACAAAGGGGAAACTGAACCACCACTCTGTAGCAGAGGTAAGAAAGCACCTGTCTGCAACACAGGAGATTCCATCTAGTAGTTCTAAGATGGCATCTCATATATTACTATGCCCTGTGATTAAGGTCAATGGAACATTACAACATCCCAATCCAGGCAGGGTTAGTAATGGCCCAGAACCTTCAGGAATGGTTTCGGTCATCCCACAAGGTAAAGAACAATTACCAGGTGAGGTGTTTGTTAAAGGCAAAGGGAACCCAGAACGGGTAGCAGGAAAAGGTAGTTTAGAGCAGTTACAACCACATGACCACTTACAGAACTGAGGACTGTAACTGTCATGAGTATTTCCTCATTTTGTTATGAATACGCTTGTCGTGTACATATGCACATATTAAGCAAATATCTTATTTTTCTTCTTTTATTCCCTTTTCATGTAACAGAAAACATACTGATGTTATATCAGTATTTAAGTATTATTAATTTTACATCCTAGTTTTCAAGTTATGGGATATCAGAAGAGTAAACATCATTGAAGGGCTTTATCTCTTCCAGGAAAGGGACTAGTACATTTTCAGTCATACCCAGGGTAGTTATGCCATATTAGGCACACTTATATCTCTATTTGGAGATTAAGTATGTTTGAGGAGATGCATGTAAAGATCAAGTTGACAAGGAGTGGACTTGTCATGGTGAATTTTGTGTCAACTTGACTGTGCTATGGGATGCCCAACTAGCTGATAAAACATTATTTCTAGAGTGTATCTGTGAGGGTGTCTCCAAGAGAAATTAGCATCTGAATCAGTAGACTGAGTAAAGAAGATCTTCCCTCACCAGTGTGAGTGGGCATCATTCCATCCATTGAGGGCTCAAAGAGAATTAAAAAAAAAAAAAGGTAGAAGAAGGATGAAGTCTCTTTCACTAATCTTGAGCTGGGACATCTATTTCCTGCCCTTGGACATCACACAGTTGTTGTAAGTTCCCAGTCTGAGCATTCAAATATCCCTACTATATCTGAGTCTGGTCTCTTCAAACTGTGTGGTTTTTTAGGTTTGTTGTTTGTTTGTTTGTTTGTTTTGGGGGTTTCTTTTGTTTTGTTTTTGCCTTTTACTTATAATTGTTCTTGATAGGTGGACACGATGTGCTGGGTAAAATAAACTTTAAATAGGTCTCTAGTAATTGGTGGTAAGAGGTGGGGCTCGGGGGGAGAAAGCATTCTACAGTCCTTTGATTAGCTCTCAGTGTTTTAGTGAGCCTGTGCCTCTGCACTGTGAACTTCACGAGTGCCTCTTGGTCCCTTTCTCCTTCAGGTGGCACAGGATGGCCAGAGTGGGCTGAAGTTGGGTATTTCCTTCCCCCAGACTGGTTAGGCTCTGAAAAAACCCCCAGTAGTTTAGGCTCTGGTAAAATAGTGTCTTGAGGACAGACCTTGTTTAGCAGCAAGCTCTGGCATATTTTTGATTGGATATTTTTCCCCTCTCCCTGCTGGAAACAAGGGGGCATTTTTCTCCATTTTCACTTTGAGAACCTGGTCAGGTTCCTGGAGGTAAATTTCACAAAAGTGTGGAAACCCCCCCTATGACTGGGTACTTGGAATTTTTAACTCTCCATCTTGTCCACACAGGGCTTCCAGAAATGTATCAGTTACAGGTTAGGTATTCCTACCCAGTACTGGTTCCTGTCGAGATAGGTATCTGCTCAGGCAAACTGTGGTTCTCTGGATTCATCTGTCTCTCCAGTGTCAGGGGCAGTGGTTTGCCCTGTCACCTCACTTCTCTGCCAGATCTAAGAAGAGCAGTTGAGTTTCCAGTTTGTTCAGCTTTTTACTTGTTGTTAGGATGGAGTGACAACTTCCAAGCTCCTACATGCCAGACTAGAGACCTAAGTCTTTGCTTGTGTTTTAACGTTTATTTTTTAAAGTTTTGGTCTGGATTCCTGGGATTGCCCCTCTGCCTGCATAGCTTAGCGTTGACCCAAGTGACTGACTTAGAAAGAGGTTGTGCTCAAAAACCTTTACAGTGTATGTCTTCCATCGTCTATGTATTGATCTGTATGTAGATGGGGGTGTGCATTCAAAACTCTGCTGCATTTCAAGTCTCCTTTCCTTATTTTCCACATCTTCCCTGCACAAGTATGTCATTTCCCAGTGGGCTAGGGGCTTATGTGGCCTTTTCTTGGCTCTCTCATTTCCAGGTTCTTCCTGTTAACATTTCTGAGTGGCCTCTAACTCCTACAAACCAGCACAGCAACTTCAGGCTACCAAATACACAGGTTTTCCCTCATTTTTTTTTTTTTGAGGTTGCCACTTTTACCTGATGAATCTGTGGGGTTTTGCCCCTTGCTCTGAATTGAGTCTGATGCCTCTGCCACAAAGCTGCTGGTTCTCTCAGCCCAATTCTGATAAAATCGCCCATCTCGTGGACTGAGCTGGGGCCGTGAGTGGGTAGGAGCAGCCTCAGGCCAAAACGCCCAGAGGACTCTCTTTGCCCAAGACTCTAGCAGTTTTTCAAGGATGCCTTGCAATTTGTTGTCTGCTTAGATTGTTTTTGACCATTTTATTTAATTTGTGTGTGTGTGTGTGTGTGTTGCAAGGATTCACAGACCTCTTCACAAAGGCTGAGCTGGAAGTCTCTACCTTTGTTTACATTGTGATGTACATTTTGATGCAGTTTTGCCTACTCTGCAGTTCATTTGTCATGTTTATATATATATATATATATATATATATACACACACACATATAAAAGTGTATGTAACTATAAACAATGGTATTTTTATGTCCTAAAAATGCAAGTATTTTCTCCTTAATACTGTTGTTTTTAACTCTTTTTATTTATAAAGTCTAATCGTTTTAAAGACCACAGAATTCCCTCTCACTCATATACCAAATATTCCTTTCACTCACTGATAAACATTTAGGTTGTTTCTAATTTTTTTGTAATTACAAACAGTGCTACAGTGAACATCCTTATACGTTTTCTTTGATTTTACTAGGTATTATCAGGTTGTTTTGCAAATTTCATATCAATTTATACTACCACACCCACCGTCTATGAATGAGCAGAACTGTTTTCCCACAATCTGGCAAATGCTAGAGATTTTCATATTTAAAAATTTTTTACAGAGGATGGGTGAAAACTTGATTTTAAAGATATGTATAGTTTTAAGATGTGTAACATTCTGTCAAATTATAGTTCAGAGAGTTTGTATCAAATTGCTCTCATCAATCCTAAATGTTACCATTTTTTACAATGTTGACAGTCTAATAGAAACTTGGTATCCTTCCTTGCTGTTTTATATTTCTTCATTATTATTATGATTGAAACTTTTCATGTGATTATTGGCCTTTGTTTTATGTAATGCTTGGTCTCATTTTTTCCCCTATTTTTCTATTGTAAATGGAAATTTTAGCTCTTACATTTAAGACAATGATCCATTTTGAGTTAATGTTTGTGTATGTTTATGAAAGTGGGTTTTTTTTCTTTTTTCTTTTGGCATGTGAATACTGTGGTTCCAACTGTTCCAAAACCATTGTTGAAAGACTATTCTCTCCACACTGAACTATCTCAGCATCTTTGTCAAAAATTAATTGGCCATATTTATAGAGGTCTATTTCTGGACTCTCTATTGTGTTCCAGTGACTCTGAACTCTCTTGATTACTGTTGCTTTATAATAAAGCTGAAATCAGGTAGTATGATTCCTCCAATTATATTATTTATCAAAATTGTTTCAGCTGTTCTAATTTCTTTGCATTTCTATATAAATTTTAGAATCAGCTTGTCTATATTTACAAAAATTCCTGTTGGGATTTTGATTGTTAATTTGTGTTAAATCAATACATCAATTTTTGTAGAAATGACAACTTTACTGTATGTCATCCAATCTATGAATACATTATGTCTCCATTTATTTAGGCCATCTCTGATTTCTTTGATGAGGGTTTTGTAGTTTTCAGCACCCAGATATTGTACATATTTTGTTAGATTTACAGCTAAGTGTTCCATTTGGGAAGAGGTGGCTAAGTTGTATTTATAAAAATTTCAGTTTCCAGTTGTGCACTGTTAATATATAGAAATATGACTGGGTTTTGTGTGTTGACCTTATATTCTGTGATCTTGCTAACCTTAAACTCAGTTATTTGTTCTAGGAGTTTTGTAGATTTCTTGGAATTTTCAACAGAAACAGCTGTATTGTTGCAAATGAGGACCATTTTATTTCTTTTAAGCTGTATGTCTCAGCGGCACCTGCCTGGCTTAGTCAGTAGAGCATGGGACTCTTGATCTTGGGGTCATGAATTCAAGCCCCACATTGGGTGTAGAGATAAATTTAAAAATAAGATCAATCAAGCTGTATGTCTTTTTCTTGCCTACTGCACTGGCCAGAACTTCCAGTATTATGTTGACTAAAAGAAGTGAGAATGAACATCCTTGCCTTGTTCCTGATCTTAAGAGTAAAACACTCACTCTTTCACCATTAAGCATAATGTTGGCTGTATTTTTTTGCACATGCCTTTTAACAGATTGAGGAAGTTCCCCTTCCATCATCAAAGGATGCTGCATTGTGTCACATGCTTCTTCTGTATCAGTTGATAAGATTATGTGCTTTTCATCTTTGGACTATTAATATGGTAGAGTACATTCATTCAGCTTTAAATACTGCACCAGCCTGATATTCCCAGGAAAAAAGCTCCCCTTGATCATGGTGTATTATTCATTTTTATACATTGCTATCTATTTTCTTGAGGATTTTTTTGCATTTGTGTGCATGAAGGGTATTGCTTTATAGTTGTGTTTTGGTTTTTTCTTGCACTGTCTTTGCCCAGTTTTGGTATCAGGGTACTGCTAGCCTCATAAAATGGGTTGGGAAATGTTCCCTCCTCTTCAATTTTCCAGAAAAGATTATGTAGGATGGGTGTTAATCCTTCTTTAAATGTTAAGTAGAATTACCCAGTGATATCATTTGGATGTTGATATTTCTTTCTCAGAAAGTTAACTACAAAAATTTTTTTAGTAAGTAGGGGCCTATTCGAGTTACCTGTTCATCTTGGATTACACTGTTTGTTTTTCATTTTATTTATGGTATTTTGTGACAGACTTAAGTTTCAGATCTTTTTATAATTAAACCTATCGACCTCTTCTTTTCTAGTATAACGTCATGTGCTCAGAAAGTTCTTTCCTCCAATTTTTAATTTTAGGAATTTTGATTCCAGGGTTGAATTTCCTTCTGGATAATTTCAGTTTTGATGTTAAAATGTGATCCATTTGGAATTTAGTGCATGATAGGAGGTGAAGATCCAAATCTTCTTTAAAGTTAAAAATGAGTATACAAGAAAAGAATAAGGTGGCCTTAGAATCTCCCAACTCTAGAAGCATAAAATTTTCTTATGTGAACAAAATTTTTACATATTCACATATAGGACACGTTATAACCATGAAGACTATTTAGAAAAAATTCAAACATATAGATGGAGTACAAATACTGTGAGTATACACAAGAAAATTTTTTAAAGAAGCAAGATGATTAGCTAGAAAACACAGAATCAGGAAGTCTTCAATGAACATTTATGCTCAAAACAATAATCAAAATATCAAATAACTTCTGAAAACTGAACAAAATTATTTAATGACATGGGGAAACAGAAGAGTAGAAAACAGTAGGATACAAAAGTTTCCCTATAATTCTCTCTTCTTCCTCTCTCTCTTTTTCATATATGACTAGAAAATAACGTACACCTAAATGGAGTCCTTTTAGAAGCAGAGAAAATCAATATTTTTAAATGTTTAAATCATATTCTTCACAAATCCCAAATTCCTCCTGATGGGCCACTGAATCCATTAGTGTCCGTTAATCTGATCCAGCAGCTGAAGAGGGCATGCAGTCCTTCCTCGCCAGTTCTTTTGTGTCTCTCCCAAAGCTACTCACTTCCCAAATGATGACCTTGCCTGAGAAAGGACTATTGCTGATGGGTTAATTCATGCCTTGGTTTTCCTCCAGAACCCCCCAGTACCTCACTTTTGAATATAGGTCATGAAAATTCTAGCTGCTACAAACATTCTCTCTTGTCAGCCAGAGGAAAAGTTAAGGAGGTTGAGAATGGAGGAGGAGGGGAGGAGGAGCCAATGTTTTTGTCTTTTATCACTGGATTTCCTCATCAACCGATACACCACAGGTCACATTCATAGCGTGTATGAGCTCTCTACTGTTTATGCAGGTGAATTCTGCTGAGATTCTAAGGGAATAAAGGAAATAGAAATCAGATGATTTTATTGGTTTTGATGTTCCAACTAATTTGCGGAGATATTGTGCCTAAATTCATGTGTAAATGATTTTGTACAAAATGGCGTCCAGTCTAATTTTTCCATCACAGTCATGAATAGCTGATTATAATCCGTCCATATTGATAGACCATTGCCAGTGTGCTTCCCTCCCATGGGAAATGATGATAACTGCAAGCTACCCCCTCTACCTACCCCTGTGTTGGGCCTCTCCAGACATGGCATGAGCCTTGGCTAGTAACGCGCTTGCCTCTGCAGTTTGGGGGCTGACTTCGGTGAACAAAGAAACACAGATAGAATAGGCCTGGAATAGAGAAAATCAAGATCAAGTAAGTACCCAAATGACAGTGTTTCACTGAGGATTTTCTAATCGTTCTCATGAAAATTGCTAGTTGAGAGCTGTATGTACCTAATCACGGAGTTACAAGAGAGATGAGTTTGAGTCCCAGCTACTTCCTAGCTGTGAGTCTTGAGCAAGTAACTTCACCTTCACATGTAGAAGAAATATACAGCTTCCATTGATTAGGGTTTGGAAAAGATTAAATGAGATGATACATGCAGAGCACTGGGCATACATAGTACCATCACATGGTAAGTCCTCAATAAATATTAGCTATTATTATTTCTTATTAAGTTTCATAGCAAAATTACAATCACAACTTAAGCTCAGCCTCTCAAAGGTTCATTATCAAAGGAAGTCCAAGGGAGTTGAGCATGGATCCTAAAGCCATACTGCCTGGGTTCCTATCACAGCTCAGCTACTGATGACATCAGGCAAGTCACTAACTTCTTCAAATATAAAATAGGAATTTCAGAAAAGACTGTTGCAAACAGTTGCTGTATGTTACAGCATTAATACATGTAAAGTGTTTAGAATACCACCTAGAATGTCATAAGCATGAGAAAAGTGAAGATTTTATTACTATTATCATTCACACTAAAATGGAAGGAGAAAAAAGAGAGAAACCATCTGGTCCACACCTACCAGCAAGAAAAAAATCACCCATGCTTCACAGATCACGGGTCAAACACCATGAGGTATTTCAAGGGGCTCCAGCGATTATCAATCAGACAACACTATGGAGCTAACACAGTTCAGAGTTGTTAAAGAGTACAGGCTCTGGGGGCTCAAATTTTCTAAGTTGAAATCCCTGCTCTCCTACTTCTTAGCTACACACTTCAGCTGAATTAGCTGTGACTCTTTATGCTTCAGTTTCCTCACCCCTAAAATGAGATAAAATAGTAATAATGCCTCCATGGCATAGGGTTATTGCATGGATGAAATAACTACATCCTCAAGTGCACATAGTAAAAGCATTCCATAAATGTTAACTATTATTTGTTGTTGAGAAACACTGGTTATATATTGATTTATCTATTCTGATCTGACCACTGCTTGCTTAAAGTCTTGGACACAAAAACCAGACAGCTTTCTCTGTAAGCAGTGGACTCCCTGCTTACAGAGCAGCATCCCCTAACATTTCTCCACTGTATGATTCTAGTAACTTTGGATTGTGGGATTATCTGCAATGCCTTTGCTATAGTATCAGCCTGTTTTCACATATACCGTTGAATTGCATTGCACATGCAATAGCAACAAAATCAGCTCTTTTGATCCACTTTTGACTTTGGGAGATACCTGAAGCCACAAGACGGTTCTCATCTGAGGAGAGAAAAGGTCAATTCAACAAGCAGTTTCAAGGGAAGTTCCAAGTACGTGATAGGTAAAAATGCCCTACACTGTTTTCATTATAATAGACTCAACATTCCTTCCTGTTTTGTTTTGTCTTCCCCTGGGCATTTGTCAAATTAGTTACCTCCAAGTGAAACACCCTTTTGTCATTTTAAGTTTAGACTTGTTGATACAAACAGTTAGGCTGGCCTAGAGGACAAATGACAGTATTACATCAAAATATCATGATTTTTTTCATTTTAAAAAAAGCCCTTTGTGTTTGCTAAAGACTTAAGTTTGGTTGCCCCTATGGCTTTTTTTCCCTGGAGCAGTCTCACTTGGTTACCTCTTCCTAGCATCCACAGAAATGAGGGGAGGCCTTGGGGGGGGGGCACACAAAATTTGGTCTCAGATCAGGTCAAAGAGCAGATACACCCACCCTGAGTCAGTGTTCTCTGCCCATGTTGTTTAAGGTTGAGGAAGGGCTCTTGTGTGCATCTGGCAGGAAATCCATCCTATCCCCCCATTCTTCTGAGAACCCCAAGCCTCCCTGGCCCTGGGAATATGGCCTGGGGCCAAATATGGCCTCTAGGTTAGGGCTCCAGCCAACTCACCAACCTGATGCAAGTACTGGATGGCCCGATCATGGTTCCTTCTCAGTTGCTCAATCTGAGCAATTTCCTCATATAGACTGACCAGATCCAAAGTCCTATCACCCTTAGCAGCAATAACATCGCCAATTGCCTTTTCAAAGTATGCCAGAGCAAGGTTCAATCTGTGGATAGCCAAGGAGGCCCTATAAGAAGGACAAAGATGCAAAGTCAGAGAGACATCTTACTTGTGCAGACAGAAAAGGAACTGATTCTAAGAACAAAATAATTTGGCCTTCATAGGCCAATCACCTCAGTGGCTAGCTAAAAAATCCAGTCTTGCTATAAACAAGCTCCTATTAACCTGCATTTCACCTACCAGATTCCACTGACTACCATTTACTTCCATTAGTATAGCATGCTGTAGTCTAATTTTATTTAAAAAGCAAATGGAAAAAAATGGCTCTCAGCAATTCACAAGGTGGGATAATTTACCCATAACACAGACTTTCTAGAATCAAAATAAAATTTTATCACTTCTGGATCCCTCTCCTTCAGACCATTGCAAAGTTATTGCTTTGTCTTGTTTGATTTAGTTTAGTTTATTCCTCCTCAGTTAAAAGTGAGAGAGGAAAGAGAAGACAATGTAAATATCCCTTCCAAAAGGCAGTGGTTAAGTAAATTATGACAAGTGATACAATAAAATACTTCAGACTTTAAAAATCATGCTTCCTTTTTAGACTAAATAATATGGGGAAAAAATTAAAAGTGTGCTAAGTTTAAAACAGTGATACAACTGTACTTAAAATGGGCCCCAACAGATCTATCTTCCTATCCACCTATGTATCTTTATCCAACTAAAATGTAGATCTCTCTACCTATACCTATATTTAACTAAAATGTCCGTAGCAGTTAGGTTTGGGGGGTGAAATTAAAACAAACTTTTATTTTCTTCATATCTGTATTTTCAAATCTTCCAAAACAAAATATAATTCTTAAAAATGAGAATAAAATAGCATCCCATTCAGGTTTATCCCTCTAGAGTCTGTAAGATACAAGGAGAAGAACATGGTAGTTCAAAGCTGTTTCTCACAAACTATTGGCTTTACAGTCAAACTCTAATAGCCTATATTTCCTTCCAAATACAACAAGGGTAAGGATACCTACTTTATAAGGTTGTTGTGAAGATTAGATTAAAATTAATACATGAAATCACTTAACATATAGCGGATATATAATCACTATTACTCCCCCTCACCTCTTGCTTCCATCTTTGTATTCCCAAATTGAAAAAAAAATATGTGTGTGTATAAAATTATTTTAGATAAGGCATTCTACAAGTTACAGTTTAACAATCAAAAGAGTACTGGCCCATTATCTGACAATTCTTTACCAAAAGATTTTGATCAATCAGATCACTATTGCCCTTGACCATAATAGTAAAGGTTACAGAATGAAAATGCCTCTCATCAAGAGCCTATAGGGAGATATTAGCCAAGTTGTCTGGCCTACACAATCACGTTTTATCTTTCCCCCACCTTTAAAACGAGAAAAGGGATTTGCCCTTACTAGATATTTGTTCATTATAAAATGTAACTCGATGTGGTACAGAAGGTGAGCTATGGATTCAGATGCCCCATCTACATGTTGGCTCCTCCACTTACTCTTTCTGTGCCTTAATTTTCTTATCTGTGAAATGAAAATAAAAATATCTACCTCATAGGCTCGTAATAGAGGATTGAATTAAATAAATTATGTGAAGCACTTAGACTAGTGTCTTGGATATAGTTATACCTAGTAAATGTTCCAACACTTAGAACAGTGCACGTACAAAATAGATACTAGATAAATACTGAAGAATGAATGAGTGAAATATGTACTAGAACTTATTCTGAAAAAGGAACAAGGCTGTCTTTCACATAAGGCACAAAAACCTTAGCCACTGACCCATGTGACAGCAACAGACATTCACTAGACTCTAATTTATGGCCCTGTGGACTTACATCCATCGTTAGATTTAGCTCGGGGCATTCCAATACCTCCCCGCCATTTCCCATTTGACTTCTAGATTCATGGTTAGAGCAGGCAGACATGATTCGTGTACTTCACTTACTTACCCTTCAGTCCTCTTCCCTACCATGTCAAGTGCTTACAGTTTTGTAAACAGATTGCTTTCAAGGATGTGAAGATATTTTATAAAAGTCTAGGGAGTAGTAAACCTTTTATTATTCTTTTTTTCTTCTGATAATCTGATGGGCCCACTCTCATATGTAAATACCGTGATTCTCTCTGAGGATACCTAACTCAACTGCAAAACAGCTAAGTCTTGTTCTGGCTTGAATAAATCCCATGTAATTGGTTTCCATATGGAACAGAACTTTCCTTAAAAATGCACGTGCTGCGCCTAGCTTCCATGGGCCTCCAATAAACGGTCTTCACATAGTGTTCTTTCCTTGTCTTTTAAGATATCATACTTAATGACAAAAGTGGGTGGCGGTTCAGAAAAAGACATAATTTGAGAATAAGTGTGAGAGGCAGCATAAGAGCTGGGAGTCCGTGAGTTCAGACCATGGATCCAACACTTAAAGCTTGCCACCGTGGACGGTTTATTTAATCTCAGCCTGGCTTTTCCTGCCTAATGAGACTGTAACTGTGCCAACTACCTCAGTGGTGTTTTAGGATTAAAAGGCACCACACACAAAGCTCAGACCATGGGGTGTGCGTTTGGGAAACCCAAGCCTCTTTTACCATCATTTGAGGCTTGGGGTTTTTTTTGCTGTGAGTACTTTTTCTCCCCTTATATAAAGAGCACACAGAACAATCATGTAATTCCAGGCCTCATTCACAAAGCCTAAGCTTCTCAAAGCCCAGATCTTACCTGCCCAAAGCAATGGTCAGGTCTTTCTCTGAGACTTGGGATTTGCGAACACCTCCCTTAAATAATTCTTTCAGCTCCTTCATGTTTCTCTCTGCCTTCTGCAGGTTGAAATAAGCCTCTCTGCCAGTGAAACAGTCAAGGAAAAAAGGCCAGGCACACAAACTCCCCCATTGCCCAGGGACAGCAGTTGATAAGCAATAAAAGGGCCCCTTGGGAATACGAAGCAGAATTTGAAAATGGGCACTTTACCGTCTTCTTTATTTTCCTTATGTGTATGTCATCAAGAATTCTTTAGAAAACGAACAAGAGCCCCAGGTTTCCCATGCTGGTAGCCTGAATCCAAGGCTGGGTTGGGTGGTGAGCATGGGGAGGCGTAACAGAAATTGCACCCCCTAGGCTACATTTCCTGTGGAGGCGTCCACTACCTGACATGAGCCATGCAGTTTTCCCACGTTGGTTCCTATGAATGGTAAAAGAGAGGAACTAAGTCTGCTGAAAGGGACTTTCTGGATCATTCAGAGAGTCCAAGCAGAGCAGGTTTTTGGCAGGAAGCAAACAGCAGGAAAGAAAATCCCCTTAATTCCCAAACAACCTTCTATTTCCCACATTTTCAATAGCCCCTTCTAAGGGCATAACAGAGGAAGGCCACAGGTCAGTTTTTGCAAGTTGAGTGTCAAGATCAAAAGAGTAGAGAGAGGGGGATGTGTAAAGAGGAGAGAACTGGGGACCCATGGTCTCAAAGAAGACTCATGATTAATTTTTTTAATATGGAATGCTTTACAAATGTGTGTGTCACCCCTGCGCAGAGGCCACGCTAATCTCTGTACCGTCCCAACTGTGGTATATGATCATTCATAAACATGAAACGCCCTTAACAGTTCTCAAGTAGAGATGGTACCAAAAGGCTGTCAACATCACAAGCTTTTCGCAGAGTAACAGGTCCCCCCTGGCGATAGAGAACTATTTCTTTTGTCTATTTTGTTTGGCCTCCAGCTTCATGGGCAGTATTCTCAACAGCATTTCAGAAAAACAAAAATGATCAAGAGTCCATTAAATCAGAGGTTTCTGGCTGCATGTTACAATCACCTGGGGGACTTTCTAAAAATCTCAATAAACAGATGCACCCCCAGACCTCCTAAATTAAAATCTCTCGGGTGGGACCCAAACAGCAGTAATTTTTAAAGCTCCCCAGGGGATTACATGTGCAGCCTCGTTTGACCAACAGTGCTTTAAATTACCACCCATTCTCCCTCTTCCTGACATCGCCTGCGTCCTCACTGCTAACACTGATTTTCTCGGGATGCTCGATGAAGGGCAGGACAGACGCCGAAACTTTTCTTTTTCTTTTTTTTTTCTTTTTTAAAGATTTTATTTATTTATTTGAGAGAGAGAGAATGAGAGAGCACAAGAGGGGGGAGGGTCAGAGGGAGAAGCAGACTCCCTGCCGAGCAGGGAGCCTGATGCGGGACTCGATCCCAGGACTCCAGGATCATGACCTGAGCCGAAGGCAGTCGCTTAACCAACTGAGCCACCCAGGCGCCCCAGACGCCAAAAACTTTTCAACTGGCAGGGGATGTGTCACCAGTGAGATCCCTCCCAGGGCTCGACTCAGAATTCCTATGAATAGACAGAGGAGGAACATTCCTACCTTTCTAAATGGAGATGAGAAGCTGGTGGGCGGGGCGTGCCTGTCTGTCTCAACAGAGCCTTGAAGCCTGGGTCGATCTCCCCGGTTCCTGTGTGAGACAGCCCATCCGGCAGGCCCAGGTGGCCCCAGGCCCCAATCACCAGATCCCACCAGGAAGGAAAGGATATCGGTTCTGTAGGAGCCAGGCCACCCCCAGGGTGTAGTACAGCATGACCAGGGCTTCCAGGATTTCCTTCTTCTCTTTGTTTGAGGTCCTGCTTCCCTTCCAGGTCAGCAGCGTGTTCTTGGCCGACTCGGCATGTTTCTTGGCCTGAGCCGGGAGGCCTGGGGAGGTTTGAGGGTGGGTGGCAAGACGAAAAACATTAAAGAAGCATGTTGCAGGCGAAGACATTTCTGGGAGGAAATAGGTGGATCATGTGGTTGTCATATGGCCTATAGTATTAGTTTCCAGAGCTGGCGGCACATCAGAATTATCTGGAATGCTTGTAGAGAATATATATTCCTGGGTCCCACCCCAGCCCTACTGAGTTGGAATCTCCAGAGAAAGGGAGTCCAGGAACCTATATTTTTAATTAATTCCACAAGTGCTGCTTACACAGCCACCACAGCATTAATCTGGGGGCCTCTGTTTGGAAATCATTGACAGAGACAGGAGTAGAAACTGAGTGTCCTGTTCCCAGTTCTGCCGCTAATGCCGTGTGAGCTTTTCAACCACAAAGCTTCTCCATCCTCCAAATGTAAAATGACAATGATTATAGAAGCTGCCCCTTTACCAAACACCTGGAGATTGTCCAGGAACAAACGAGGTTATGCCACAGAGAGCTATGCTTTGAGCTTTCTGGAAAAGGCATTCTAAAAATACAAGGGCTTATGAATACAATTACTTCCATCTGGGGACTTTTTTTTCAATCCAAGATGAGGCTGGTTATACTAATTGGTCACACACACGCGCACACACACACAGGCACAGAATCCAATTCCTAAATGCAGTGAGGCCCCTCACTAAGAAGACAAAGGGAGTACCAAACTCCAGCCAGACAGAACTTGCAGTATGTTTCCCCTTGTTTTCTAACTAAAGGCTGGAGTTCCTGGGCACCCACGGGAACTGCTATTTGTCCACTTAGTTAACAGAGGTAGACTTGGTAACATTCAATTTCTCGACCTCGTTCTTCATCTTCCAACCTAGCTCATGTCTAGGGGTCCCTGATGGGACAAGAGGAACCCTGGGGAAAAAAGAGAAAGGTCAGCAGGGAGCTCCTGATCCCGGGAGTTCTCCGCCCTCCTGGAGACGGCCATGGCTGGCGGTCCAGTTCAGCTCTCCTCTCTGCAGGCCGGTAAACATATTCACTCCCGTCAGGTGGACCCGCTGTGCCCCTAATTCTCACTTCACGCCCCCAGCCCTCAGTCTGCTCCACTGTTGGCCTTTGGAGCCTGGCTTCTCAGTACAGGTATAGTCAATGGCCATAAAGATGACTTGCAGACTTGAGGCCTGCAGCCCTCCTATACTCCAGATGTGCAGGACCTCCTTAATGAGCGGCCACAAGGGCGGGGCTGTGGGGGGAAGGTGGAGGGGAGAACAGAGCTTCTTGGGGATAGACCTACAAGTGACCTGGGAGCCAGGAAATCCTCGTAGAATACTCAGAGATGCCTGTCCATAGGTCTCAACTCAAGAGAAAAATGGGGGTCTGTGGCAAAAGAGAGGGCTATGTCCCAAGCTACCAGGTAACAGCACCCTCAGACTGCAGTGCATATCATAAACACCCTCCTAAAATGCAGATTCCCTGGCCTTGCTTCCAGGAGTTGTGGTTCATGGGTTCTGAGGTGAGAATGGAGGATTCACATTTATAACAACCATCCTAGGTGATAATCTGATGCAGGCTATCTAAGGACGACACTTGGAGAAGCATTTAGTAAAATCTTTATACAAGAAGTAGGCTCATCTTATTTTTGAAGAGTAGGTAGTTTGACTGATACAGAAGGATAAGGAGGGGTTTCCACTTGGGGTAAACAGCCTGAGGCCATAAAGACAGAATAAGCAAAAACCGCGCGCGCGTGTGTGTGCACACACACACACACACACACACACACATACAAACATTGGTGGGATGGGGTGGGGGTATGTAGGAGTGTCAAGGCAGTAAGGAGACCAGTCTGACTGAAGGGGAGGTTTAAACGTAAAGACACATAAGGTATGAACTGGATAAGTAAAACGGAGTCTTGGAGGCACCTGGGTGGCTCAGTCGGTTAAGCGTCTGCCTTCGGTTCGGGTCATGATCTCGGGGTCCTGGGATCAAGCCCCGTGCAGGGCTCCCTGCTCAGTGGGGGTCTGCTTCTCCCTCTCCTTTTGCCCCCCCCACCCAAACTGGCTCATGCTCTCTGTCTCTCAAATGAATAAGTAAAATCTTTAAAAATAAAATAAAATGGAGTCTCGGATGCCAAGTGAGGAGGTTGGATTTGATCTGTTAGGTAATGGGGAGTCTTTATAGGTCTTGAGGAAGGGAGCAGCAACTGAAAAGTCTGCCAAGGACGTCAGACCAAGAAAATAAGATAGGAAACTGAGAAAGTCTTTTTATCAAATAGGCTGTTTCCCACAGCCAGGTGGGCCTTTGGGAGTGTGTCAGTAAGAAGTGCAGGAATCTAATCTAGATGCTTCCCTTGGTCTATAGGGAGGAAAAAAATGAATCTGGCTGAGCCACTGAAAACCACCCCTGAATCAGCACAATGCTGCTTCTGGGCTCCTGAATGGAAAACAAATGAGAAAGCTGTCCTGAGGCTTTGCCAGTCTACCCTGCCACCTCCCCCCACCAAGTGCCCAGTGCTGGGCTGTGAAACCCCCAGAGGAACACTTTTCCTCTAAGCTCAGCAGCTAATGAATTATATGGTTCCTTGTCTCCACTTTATCATGCCCCACACAGTGGTCCTTCCGATGAAAAAGCTGAACATAAGCAAACTGAACTAGGATCTCAACTGAAAATGGCTCTTTAAACTTTGAAGTCAGCCTTAAAGGAAAAAAGTCATTCCTTTAACTGTTCCCAGAATCCACTCTTGTCTCCAAAGTGGGGGACATGTAGCCCCTACAGCATGCAAGATGCCATAATGGTGTAGGGAAAAAAAAGACAAAAATTTCTTTATTTTAAATTTTTTTTCTATTTTTATGAATATTTATAATATTACATAATAGATTAATACTACTGTACATAATTCATAATAAATACACATATATGCAGCTTGCTCAAATTTTCCGAAGTGATAAGGGAGCTAATTCTCAAGGGTTTAGAGATCACTGCTCTAGACAATGTTTTCCAACCTTGTCAAGTACGAAAGAGCTCTTTTTATGTTTCAAAAAACCCCTCACTTTGTGATATTTTCATGGCACTTCCTACATGAGAAAATTCACGACAACAGAATCAGTATCAGTAATAATTTGAAATAGATTTGCATTTTATTAATTTCAAGAACACCCTCTCTCATGTAAAGAGAACACTGCATATATGTATATATACGAGTCTCACGTTAACAGTCTCTGGAGGAAGCTCATAGATCTGTGATCTCATTCCCTAACTCCAAGGCCCACCTCCCCAGTTCCAGTGTAAACTCTGAGAGACTAAGTCATTTTCCTTTATTTGCCCTTCGCCCAAGCCAAGGACACCATTCTTTTCCCTGCACCAACAGTGCAGCAATCACAGAGGTAAAAATCAGACCTGCTCCTGGAGCCTGAGATTCAAAAATTACGGGCAGCTACTGATGAACTGGAAACTGGGCCCCAGTATTGTCCAGGAAAACATATCAAATCCTTTTGCTTTAGTTTGGGATGTAATTCCACCACTGACAACTGTTACCCTGACTCAGGCCAGAGAGAATCTGCCTGGAGATACCCAGTCTTTGGAGTTGCTGCTGTCACCTTTGATCATCAACTCTATTTAACAAGTTCGTGTGGACAGCGATTCAGAGCAGGGCCTCGAGCCAGACTTCCTAGATACCGATATTGCCTTAGCCATTTCCTACCTGTGGCCTTGAGCAAGTTACTTCATCTGTCTGTGCCACAGTTTATTCACCTGTAAAATGGTAATGAAAATACTTTCTACCCTGTACTGTTATAGTAAGGATTGATTTAATTAATTTGTGAAAAAGCAACTAGGGCCTGGCACATAGGAATGAAATGAGTTTGAATAAATATTAGCCATCATCATCACCATCATCATCATTATTTTACTACTGCTACTACTACCACGAGGGGCCATTCTCCTAAGCAATTTATTATATTTGTCCTTACTCTGGACCTTTGTCATAGAGCTGCTTAGAGAATCTCTGCAAAAGGCTGCATTCTCAAATGCAACGTCATTGCTGGCAGGCATTAATGGTTTCCTGCAGGTCAGCTCGCCCGGTTCTTATCATTCCCTGTTATTTCTGTACCGTTTTGGTTTTTTCAACCAACTGGACAGGGAAGGTACGGTTCGTGACTTATGCTTCTTTTTTCTGTATTTTGCAACACTTGTAATAGAGCCCAGGATCCCTAGAAAGTGCCCAGTAATAACAGGCTGATTCATTTATTGCTTCATTAATAATAAGCAATAGATCAGGAAACATGTCACTATATTCTCCTTCCTAGACTCTTGGACAGCAGTTCGGCAATAGGTGACAAAGCACCTGTTGTTGGGTGGCTTTCCTCGCTCAGCTGCTGAAGCATTGGGCTCATTCGGGCCACCACCACCGAGTCCCACTTCCCGTCCCTTCCTCTAGTTTGCCAAGCAGCAAACTTTACACCCTGCTTTGCAAAGGCCCCGTGTTCTCTCGTGTTATTGACTCCTGAACCCCGTTTCATCAACTGCTCTATTTCTTAAAACCTCCAAACTCTCTCTCAAAAGGGCTCCTTCCTCACTGCCTAAGCTCTGTCTCCTTCTCTTCTAAAATTATCTTCACGTGACTTTTCTACCTTCGCCAGCGACCCTCTTTTCCCTCATTCCTTTCAATACGTAGTAAGGAGCCCATGTAGCCTGGCCTCCTGGCCCCCACTCCCTTCCTTCAGGCCTGGGATCCGGCTTCTGCTCCAACCACCCTGCACAAGCTCTTCTGCTGAGGCCCCCAAAGATCTCCTACTAAATAAATCCAGGCAGTTTCTCAGTCAGACGCTCTTAGCTGCTTGGCTTCTCTTGGCCCTGAGGACACTGCACCAACTCAGTTCTCCTTTATAAACCTTCTCTCATTGCTTCTTTGCTAACTCTTTCCGGGGGTCCTTTGTTCCCTTCTCCAAGGGTCTTTCAGTTTCTTCCTTTTCTTCTCTCTCTCCCTCTCAGAAGTTCTAACAATCCCTAGTACGTCCACCT